AAGTGCTGAACGTTAACTGGATTAGAATGAAGGTGTATTAATCAAGTGAGATTTTTACAAAATCTTTCTACCCTTGTTTCAGTTTACTGGATTAAACGTTCTTAGTCAGATATTTTTCATACAAAGGGATATCGTTGCTGCATTCCTGTATTAAAGTTAGGTCAAGAAAACAATGGTTCTCTACCAAAACACCAATGATATAAGGAATGCAGATGTTCTCACACTTTTCAGAACTTCTGCCTCTTTGGATAAACTTTCATAGGCTTGGTCCAATAACTGTTACAAATAACTTTTTGTGCATTGTTGCAGATTATAAACAAGGCACTATCCAAGCCATCACCCAATTTTGCAAACTCATTACTCAGATTCTTCTCACAACCATGGCATAAAAGTAGGATACTGCCACATATGATTCACAGAAAATGATTATAGCTATCCTCCATGTCTAATCTCTCCATAAAGCAGCAGCTTATTATTTTGTTTAATTTACAGTATAACTTTCATTCTTTCAAGGAGCTCAGCCAAATGCACATATTTATTATCTTCATCACTTTTTCCCCACAGCAATCCCAAACAATCCTTGGAGAACTAAATAGTGTGATGTGAGCCTGTGAGTTTCATGATTCAATGGGAACTAAAACCAGGATCTCCAATTTCCCCATCCTATGCTTTCTCTTTATACATTACAGTGACTTACAAACTTAATCCATTCCGGAATGGTGTTCATAAGTCAAAATGTCCGTAAGTCAAAGCAGCATTTCCCATAGGAATGTACTGAAATCCAATTAATTTGTTCCGCTGTTTTTTGTTCTTATTTCAAGGCATGGTTTGTAAGTCAAAGCATTAGTTCCCATAGGAACTAATGCAAAACTGGTTAATCTGTCCTCTACCACTAGGGGGAGGTTTTTTTTTAAAACCTAAGATGACTTAGCTTTAAAAAAGGGAAAGGAGGGAGACAGAGAGAAGACAATGGGGGAGGGAGAAAGTTTGGAGTATAAAACACATTTTTTAAATTTTATTTTGGACTTATATAGCGCTACAAGCACTCTTCGGGCGGTTTACAATTTAATTATACAGGCTACACATTGCCCCCGCAGCAAGCTGGGTACTCATTTTACCGACCTCGGAAGGATAGAAGGCTGGGTCAACCTTGAACCAGCTACCTGGGATTTGAACCCCAGGTCGTGAGCACAGTTTTAGCTGCAGTACAGCGTTTTAACCACTGTGCCACATGCTAAACCCACACATTTTAAACCCACACATTTTACACCAACTCATTTTAAACCAAGCCAGCACAGAGCCTTACAAAAACTTTTCTGATTTGCAAGGGAAGCATGCAGAAACCATTGCAAAAGCACAGAAAAAAATGGAGCAGATCATAAATGCAAAGACAACGAAGTAAGAAAGCAAGGGAAGCATGCAAGACACATCAAAATTGGGGGGGGGGGAAACCCCAAAAGCAAACAACCCCCCATCGGAAGTGGGGGGGGGAAATGCAAGACACATCAAAATTGGGGGGGGGGAACCCCAAAAGCAAATAACCCCCCATTGGAAGTGGGGGGGGAACAAAAACCAAACAACCCCAAGACCCATCACAGCACAGAAACATAACTCCCCAGCCAAAAACCATGCTGCAAAAATACCCTAAAGAGTTATTAAAAAGTATAAAGCAGCGCCTTACCTTAGTAGGCAGCCTCCTCGGATCGCACACTCTCTAACTGCTGGGGTGAAAGAGCTACAAAGAAGCAGCCTCGTCACCACCTACAGTTAGTTATTTGATTTTCCCACCCTTTCCCCCTGCCTTTTTGTGTTCGTAAGTCAAAGCTCCCTTCACAAGTCAAAGCAAAATTATGTGAACGGAGCTGTTCGTAACTCAAAATGTCCATAGTCAAGGCATTCATAAGTCAAGGCACAACTGTACATGTGTTGTAAAGCTTTATATTTATGTAACTAAGGGCCACCACACCTGCTTACACTGAACTTTATTCACCATTGTGTTGTTCATTTAATGAGTCTAGAGTTCTTTACAGCCTGGTCAGGCTATCATAATCCTGGATAGTTTGAATGCAATTTACTCAGAAATCTTTGGAAGGGAGTAATCTCAAAAGAGTCTGGAAATATTTCATGTCTATCAAATCCTCCCCACCCACCATTTCTCTGACACTCTCAAAAAATTTCGAAATGGCTGGTGAGGATGACTTCATTTTGTAGAAGCCATATAGATTCTTCCTATGCAAGAATTGTTCTCTTATATGTTTAATATTTTTGTTCTGTTTTTAAAATAATGCTTCCCACTAGTTTATCTGTAAATGAATGACATCAGATTAGTAGTATGTCATTTTCTGGATTCCTTTTTTAAAAAGTGGTATTTTATTTTGTTGATTATCCTCCAATACGCCACTGATAATGGGGATTCTTTAGAACTCTGAGCTCTTTCCCCAGAACTTACTAAATTCATACTCTCTCTAACATTAGATGTCCTCACCACAGAAATAGCAAAGGAATGGGTATCATTCATAACAAAGACACACAGAAATAATTCATTATGCTTCTCTTCAGTTATCCCATCCTGTTTCAGTGTCTTTCTTCTTCTTTGTCTCTAAAGATTCAGCTGTTTCCCTTTATTATCATTTTTAAAATTAAGAGCAAAATTAAGTTTTCCAACATGTAGCTCTAACTTAGAGGTGTTTAGACATTTTGTACTAGCGCAGAAGCCTCTGTGCTGCAAGCTCAGAAGATCTGCAGTCTTAAGATTGAATCCACGCGAAGGAGTGAGCCCCTGTCGTTTGTCCCAGCTCTCGCCAACCTAGTGGTTCGAAAGTATTCAAAATGCAAAATGGCAGTAGATAAATAGGTACCACCACGGTGGGAAGGTAATGGTGTTCCGTGTCTAGTCGTGCTGGCCACGTGACCACGGAAGAGTGTCTTTGGACAAAAATGCTAGCTCTATGGGTTGAAACGGAGATGAGCACTGCCCCCTAGAGTCGGACACGACTGGACAAATTGTCAAGGAGAACCTTTACCTTTACCATAGTTTCTACTGTTCCTTCCAGTACCATGTTGCCTGGCAACCAACAGATATTGTATGCCAATACTTATAGAGAGCACTAGAGCAGTATTGTTGACACTACCACCCCCACTGTGAAAATAAATGCCCAGAAAAATATGGTCAACAAATGATGCCAGAATTCGTTCCCATAATGTTAACAAAAGTTTTCACTTTTCTCACATGATTGTCTTGGCATACATAGTAAATACAAGGGAGAATGCAATCACACACACACACACCTGCTGGCCCACCCAACCCCCACAGCTAAGAGTACTGTAACACCTTAAAGACTAACAAGTTTAATTTGGCATAAGCTTTTGCAAACTGTGGCTCACTTCTTCAGATGCATATACTATAGTAAACCTCACTTGAATTCATCCATTTTATCTTAGAACTGCAGAGCTGAAAGGATCATGGAATCCAATCCCTGTTACAAAGGCATAGTAGGGAACTGAACTCCCAACCTCTGGCTCGGTTGTCAGAGACCAAAGCTACTGAGCTATCCTCCTTACTTCATAAGCAGAACAAATCCCGTGGTACTTGACTATGTAGTCACAGTCTAAAATAGATACCTCGTTATATATTTCTGCAAACAAAACAAAACATCATTAGACAAAATATAATACAGATGAGATTTAAAATGAATAATCAGTGTTATCTACAAATTTGAAACTTTTATTTTATAATGGAAACTACGAGGACAGGGGCAAAGGGTCTTGGAGAAAGAAGCCTCCTTCCCCTTTTAGTTTTTAAACTGTTAAGAGTGTTCATTTCTCCAGTTAATTTCAGGTCAGTTCTGTATGATTTCACCCAAAAGTAAGTATATAGATTACTGTAGATAAAATATAGGGACATGGTGATGCTGTGGATTAAACCGCAGAAGCCTCTGTGCTGCAAGGTCAGAAGACCAGCCATCGTAAGAAGGAGTGAGCTCCCGTCACTTGTCCCAGCTCCTGCCAACCTAGCAGTTCAAAAGCATGTAAATATTCGAGTAGATGAATAGGTACCACCTTGGTGGGAAGGTAACGGCCTTCCACGTCTAGTCGCACCCTAATGTCAGACAGGACTGGACTAAATGTCAAGGGGAACCTTTACCTTTACCTAAAGCCTCTGTACCATTGAAAGTATGCATGAAGTAGGCAAAAGAAGTCTTTACAGTATAGCAAAGTATGTTATGTGTAGACCCTAAGTCTCTCTAAAAATGTTAACTTCTTTCTCTTATAATCAGTCAGCATAGAATTAAGCTGGCGTGTGGCTGACGAAGCACTTTACGAGGAAACACTTCAAGAATAGCGTTTCTTAGACAAACCAAGGTATGAAGAAACATTACTTCCTGCTGTGATCTGGGGTCATTCAAGCTGGGCATGAATAGAGCCACCACTGTGCCTGATGCCATCGGTCAGAACTACAAATTGGTCGTCCACCCCTCCTTAGAAATTCATTATTTGCCCCTGTTCTTGGGTGCCTAAATCCAATATTACTTTGTAACTCCTGGAGCGCTCAACTTCAGCAGTAGCCATGATGATCTTGGGAGGGGGAACACGGTACCTTTTAGGTAGATTTTGATTGATATTTCCTGAGGGGGGTGGGCTACCCAGGAGTCTTGCCCAATTCTGCCTGTTAATTCCGGGGGAGGGGGGAAACTCTCCTGAGTCCTGACCTAAAAAGAGTGGGGATTGAAGCCTTTTTTCCCCTTTCTTCCAGCGGTTCCTGCATTCCATACTTCGGTCCATTAAACATAGTTAGGCCGCCATAGAAACGAGGCTATTCTGGTTTTAATTTCTTGTTCAGCTTGTGCCCGTTTTCATTCCTTTGAGGCCATTTCAAATGGGTTTTCCTCTTGTCAGATTTTCTTTCGCGTCACATTTCGCAACTCTTAATACTGCCTCCCGAGAAACGAAACTTAACTTGCCCCGGTCCTTCATCCCTGGACAGAAAGAATCGAAAGTCATACTCGGGGAGGACCAAGCAGTCTGTGTAGTTACTTGATAACGTTATCACTGAAAAGTAAGCAGCAGGTCACAGATAAATTGAATTTCTAGTTACGCTTGTCGTCTTGTGAGCTTCACACCTCACTGACTAAAGGAGCACAGCTGAGGAAGAACCTTCGCCGATATCCACCCTTGGAAGTCAGAGAGAGAGAGAGAAGGTGAGCGGGAAAAATAAGCGGCTGTCAATGAATAAGCCTCACGAAGCGGGATGGACACGCGCGCGTAGCTTTGCTTCCATGCTGGGTCATTGTGAGGGAAAGCCGACCGGGAACTTCGCTTGTTCGTCTGTGTGGCGGATGTCTGTTTTTGCGGGATAGATAGATTTTGGGTGTCTTCCGGTCCTTTCGCTCAGGTTTTCCTGGAATCGATTTGAAAGCTCCTTGTCACTCTGAAACTCCCGCTCAAACCTTCCTGATAGTAAATAACTCCCGCGCAGCTGATACACGACGTTTGAGCCTTGCATTTCTGATTTAAAGTCCTATGAGCATCGCCTTTGAAGTGGTTCAGGAGGAAAGGGTAGCCACTTTTTAATCCAGCCCATTTGGGTCTTTGTGATAAATCTCGGTTTTACCATAGAAAGATATGGGAAGACGATTTGCAGTTTTTAACGGGATGTAGATCGCCACTGAGTGAATGACTGCTGGAATGCCCTGGTTCCTTCTTAGTAGCTAAAGGGATACACTGGAGTTCTCCAGGGCACAGAAATGCCACAACTTCCACAGGGCTCCTTCAGAGCTAAACCCAGGCTATCAAAATGAAAGGAGCTCCTGCACTGGTTAACCACTGACCACATACAAAGATTGCATGAAAACCCCAGGACCTCCCTGTGAGTTTAAGGGACCTGGTCTGGTGTACTGAAGTGTGTAAAACGTGATATTTGTTCATTTAATTTCTTTAAAAATCATGCTTTTCTCCTTTAAAAGGATCCAAGGCAGCTTGCATCATTAGAAATACAGTATTTAACAGCTAAAGACAGTAAGTGCATAAGTATTACAATACTATTAAACAAATATTATATTAAACATGGTAAATAAAAGTAATACCAAAAGGGCATTTAAAAGCAAGAAAGCACAACAATCGATTTAAAAAACTCATCTCAGGCAGCTAGTCGCTCCTGGAAAGCTTGCCTAAAGAGAAGGGTCTTCATCTGCTTGGGGAAGGAAAGCAGAAATGGGGCCAGCCTGCCCCCCCCCCCCCATGAGAGGGAACTCCAAAGTCTGGGAGCAGCAATAGAGAAGGCCCTCTCCTGTGGCCCCACCAAATGTACCTCTGTGGCAGACCTCTCCAGCAATGGGCACAGCTGGTAACTTTGCAAATACATTTCTGGCTACCACTGAAACCTGGATGTTTCAGCCCAGTTGTTGTTGTTTAGTCATATAGTCGTGACCCCATGGACCAGAGCATGCCAGGCCCTCCTATCTTCCACTGCCTCCAGGAGTTGGGTCAAATTCATGTTGGTAGCTTCGATGGCACTGTCCAACGATCTCGTCCTCTGTCGTCCTTCTCTTGCCTTCACATTTTCCTAACATCAGAATCTTGTCCAGTGAGTCGAGTCTTCTCATGAGATGGCAAAGTACTGGAGCCTCAGCTTCAGGATCCGTCCTTCCAGTGAGCACTCAGGGGCAATCTTAATTCTGGTTTGGGATTCATCCAGTCCTGCTTTTCACATGATGTATTCTGCATATAAGTTAAATAAGCACAGCCTTGTCATACTCCTTTCCCAATTTTGAACAAATCAGTTTTCCATATCTAGTTTTGTTGCTTCCTGTCCTACATATAGATTACTCCTACATATAGATTTCTCAGGAGATAGATAAGGTGGTCAAGCACTCCCATTTTTTAAAGAACTTGCCATAGTTTGTTGTGGTCCACACAAAGACTTTTGCATAGTCAATGAAGCAGAAGTACTGTTTGTTACAGTTTTGCTTTTTTTCTCACTTTGGCTGCCTTTTATAGGATATTACAGAACACTTTCAGAACTAGCCTAATCTCAGGAGTAAGTTACCAGGTTTCACAAGTGAGGCTGTTCAAGAAGAAACAAGTGAGAAGTCCCCTTTGGCCAAATAATTAATTTCACATTTAAAAAAAAAAGGCGATATTAAATTATGTTATTTTTACAATGCCCAATACAGTACTGTATTAATGTTCTCTGGCTGGATTGCATGTCAATATAAAGTGCTGTAGTAGAATTACTGTGCAAGTATTTTCAGATGTAATGCTTAGACTAACAGCCATGCAAAATGCAGGATTTCAAAATGATAAAACGTTATCTATGTATGTTTGGCAATTTCAAGGTACATGAAAGAGTAATGGCCTAGATATAAATATATAGTACTGTACCTCATACCCAAACAGCTTTAAGAGTAATACACCAGCTATGGCATCAAAAGCAAGTGGGGTACAAGAGGAAGCCTCTTCGCATACATTTGGAGTGGCAAAGAAGACAGAGCAAGTATCCTTGATAGACGCGTCCCAAGAACCCTATTTGCATGATTTCCAAAAACCAAGTAAGTAACTATATGGCTTTTCAACTGTATCTGTGCTCTTTAATGTCAGATAAATGGTTTGATGCTGGATTCTCTCTCATTTTTATGGTTATATACATAGGACCCACCTTGTCAGGCATCACTTTCCTAGTGTGGGTATCAGCAAAGATTTTCCTGCGGTGGAGGGAAACACTAAATTTTTCTCTTCTCAGTGATCAGCCACCCATTCCCAAAGCATTTAATTGGAAACTAAATTGAGATAAGGCAAAGTAATGCAGGGAAGAAGGGAACTCTGGTGAGTCTGTGCTCAAAGTTTCTTTTCCCCTCTGAGTTCTTGTTTTCTGTAGAGGGCAAAATGGTATGAAGGGTCATGATACTTTGCATATAGACAGAGATTTTAAATGTGAACTTTCATTCCTTTGTGTTACTGAAATTACAGTGCAGAGAATCACTGTGAATTTCCTATGTTGCCTTTGTTGCATGACATCCTTGGATTCATTCCTGGGGTTTTTACTCTCTTGGGGGTAGTGACATCTCTAGAATTTTTTTCTTTGTGAACTTAAAAATGTCTGTGAGTATTTTTGCTTGGGCACACTCCATGAGTCCCTGCTAAGGATATATGATGGGCATGGGGCAAATCCTTTCTCCAGGATAACAGGCAGAATCCAAATAACAAAACAAAGACAAAAACACGTGACACCTTAAGGACTATTAAATTTTAATGTGAGGTTTTGTTGGCACATCTTCTGCTTCTTCAGACAAATGGAATAAATTGAAATACAGAATGAAATACAGAATTCAGAAGTAAAACATTCATTGGCTTTAAGAGTCTTGGATGTGTGGTTAAATCTCACATGCAGTAATTTATGGCCTATATTTGGTGTTATTCCTGTTACTGGGTCTTTACAATACCACCAGCCGCCCTCCTCCCTTTTTTTGTTCTTGCTTGATTATCTGTTTTCTGTATTTTGTGGGAATATTTGCAATAGAACCAAACATAGGCCAAACATGTCTGAAGAAGTGGACTTATTGTGAGCTTTCATGGATCAAGTCCATTTTCTTCAGATGCGTGTGCCCTATGTTTGGTTTTAAGTTCTATTGCAAACTTCCCCACAAAAGACAGAAAACAGATAACCAAGCAAAAGCAAAAAAGAGGGGGGTTTGTGAAGACCAACTGTGATCAGTAACAGGAATAAAGGGTATCTGTATTTGATTCTGTATTTGTTTTTATTCCAGATGTCTAAAGAAGTGGAAGTGTCCGCGAAAGCTCAAATTAAAATATAATAGTCTTCAAAGTGCCACGTGTTCTTGTCTTTTTTGTTTTGTTTTGTTTTGTTCTGTCTTGTTTTCTTTGGATTTTGCTTGATATGCTTGCACAGATTAACATGGTTACCTCTTCAAAAAATTCTCCAGGATATTAACCATGTGTGACCACTCTCCTGAAACAAAGTGGTAAGATGGAAACAGAAGGGATGGGAAGGTGGGGAAAAATCCCACCAAGGAGTTTTCCCATCAAGTGTATGCTAAAAAGGAGATGAAGGATGTACTCAGGGCATTTGGTGGGGGAGAGGAAGAGGAGAGTTGGGCCAATGTTGTAGAGTGTAGTGGGGAAGTAACCGACCCCACAATATATGCAGGATACACATCAAAAGGTAGTCCTCCTTTGGGCCTCATCTGCCCTTTCTAGATAAAAAGACTAACCCCAGAGGACTCTAGGGTTTTCGACAGAGCTGAGTCCAGACAGAGGCCCGCGCTTGAAAGCAGGAAGAAGGATCCTGATATGGTGACTGAACCAGCCTTGATTCAGCTGTGCTGCTTCCTTCAGGAAAGACAGTTTAAGCAATTGCAATAGCTGACCAAGGACATTCAAGAGAGGAAGGTGAAAGTTTATTAACCTTGACTGTTGAGTTGTTTGGAGTGGGGTAAGGTTAATCAACCACACATTTCAATAGTACAGTGGTGCCTCGACTTAAGAACATCCTGACATACAACCATTTCGAGTTACGACCAGGTCTAGTAGAAAAATTTTGCTTCGACATGCAGCTGGAACTTTGAGTAATAAACAACACTGTAGTACCTTGTGGTTCCCATACCTTCAGATAAGACATACTTCTTCACAAACAAACATCCAAACTTGCACAAAAACTTAATCTGAATAGTTTTGCACATGATTTTTATTCCTCCTCAAGGATCTTAATGGAAAAGCAAGTAATGTGAAGAATAATTCTAAGATGCCCCTATGTTTTTTTTCCAGCTCTACCAATATGCATGGCAGAAATTACTGATTTAATTTGCAAGGAAGAAATACCAACTGCTCAGTAAGTATGAAAGATTAAGATTCAGTGACAGTTCTTCAAATTTGAAGTCCCATGGAAATCTTGTAAAACTTCCTGTTTGACTTCTGATCACTCTGCATATCTATCTTTCTTGAAGTCATTGGTTGATCATATCGAATAGTTGTGAGTGACTTAACTACTCTAGTGTCACAGACAACTTGGGCAATCATCAGTCAGGAAGCTGAGTGCCAAAGGAGACACTTTGTTCAATTTAATCAGTATTATATAATGTGTTGACATAATTGCAAATTAGTCCATATCAGGCTTTTAACTGGACTGGCAAGTTTAATTTCTTGTTGAAGTTCACAATGAGGGAGTGCAGGGAATGCTTGTCAGATCTGCAGATGGTACGAAATTGGGAGGAATAGCTAGTACACTAGAAGACAGAAATAAAATTCAAAATGACCTTGATAGGATGGAGCACTGGGCCAAAAGCAACAGAATGATATTCAACAAGGATAACTGCAAAGTACTGCACCTCAGAAAAAGAAACCAATTGGGCGATTACAAGATGGGAGATACCTGGTTGAGGAAAACTTCAAGGGAGAAGGATCTAGGAATTGTCATAGATCACAATCTAAAAATGAGCCAAGAGTGTGATGTGGCTGCAAAAAAGGCAAATGCTATTTTAGGCGGTGTTAATAGAAGTATACATTCCAAATCCTGTGAGGTGCTAGTCCCCCTCTATTCAGCACTGGTTAGGCCTCACCTTGAGTATTGTGTCCAGTTCTGGACACAACACATTTCAAGAAGGATGTTAACAAATCGGAACAAGTTCACAGGAGGGTGACAAGGATGATCAGGGGGGCGGAAACTGGCCTTATGAAGAAAAGCTGAAAGAATTGGGCATGTTTAGCCTTGAGAAAAGAAGGCTGAGGGGTGATATGATAGGACTTTTCAAATATTTGAAAGGCTATCATACAGAGGAGGGGCAAAATCTGTTCTCGATCATCTCAGAGTGCAGCACACACAACAATGGGCTCAAGTTAAAGGAAGCCAGATTTTGGTTGAATATCAGGAAATACCTCGTAACTGTTAGAGCGGTACGACAGTGGAACCAGTTACCTCGGGTTTTGGTGAGTGCTCCAGCACTGGAGGCATTCAAGAAAAATGTAGATAATCACCTGGCAGATATGCAGTGATTATATTCCTGCATTGAGCAGGGGTTTGGACTTGATGACCTTGTAGGCTCCTTCTGCCTTCACTTTTCTATGATTCTATGTTAAAGGTCTGGAAAGGCCTGTCTAAAAAATCTATATTATTTACCATCACTTAAAATTCCCAGTGAAGGGGCCAGGTAGATTTTGGGTGGGAGGCTGTTCTAAAGTTGGTGGGTGGCTGCCAAGAAAGCTCAGTTTCTAGTCCTCACTTTCTCGTGGGGGCCTCTCTCGTGGTCAATACTCTCAACCGCCCAGCCTGGGAGGATTGTGCAGGATGGGCAGATTTAACTGGAAGGAGGCATTCTGCCAGGTATTGAGGTTCCAAACCATTTTGAGCCGTATAAGTTAACATCATCACCTTGAAGCTGACACAGAATTGCACAGGTAACCAGTGCAGGGCAGCCAGAGTAGGAGAAATGTGTTGATATTTCTTTATACCACTCAGTAGTCTGGCTGCCATGTTCTGGACCTGCTGAAGTTTCTGTAGCAGCCCCACATAGAGAACATTGCTGTAGTCTAATCACAAGACTACCAATGCATGGGCCTGCATGGTGAGGGACCTGGTGTCAAGGGAGGGACACGCAGCAGGGCAACCCGCCTTAGGTGGACCAGACCACAGATACTATCTGAGACTCAATTGATAGCATAGGGTCCAGAAGTACACCCAAGCTGCAAACCTCATCCTTAGTGGAAACAGTGCCACCAAGGAGTGGGCAGCACCCATACTGCAAACACCGAGGCACCCACCAGTAGGACTTCCATCTTGCCCGGGTTCAGCCTCAGTCTATTATCCCCTCATTCGTCTCAATATTGCATCTAGGCAGTGCTCAAGGAGATGAAAACCATGATGTATCTAGATGGAATCCTAGATGTTTTGTAAAGAGCTGTATAACTTTAAAAGCCATTATGTTAATATACTGTTAATCTAGATTGTTTTAACATACAATGTGCTTGTTCTAGATATGTCAGTTTGCTGAATGACTACGTTGAATCAGAGTTTTTCCTCATTGATGGTGATTCACTGTTTGTCACTTACACAAAGGAAATAACATTACAACGAGGACAGAACTTGCACTTCTTTTACCTAGTTGAACGCTTTCTCCTGGATTTAACAACGAAAGGAGCAAAATATATCATTGTTTTCTTTAAGGTAACAAGTTGATTTTAAAAAAAATATGTGATCTGTTTCTCTGTATAAGAGAGATAAATGTATAACAGTCTTTGGAACAGATTTTAAGACAAACTAATTTCCAGTGATATTGAAAATACTTGATTCAATTAGAATGTTTAGTCAGTGGTGAAATCTGACCATCAGAAAGCCTTGAAATTATCTCCTAAAGCATTCTCATCAGGTAAAACCCAAAGAGAAAAAAATAAAATAAATATGAAAAATAAAAAGGACAAAAATCTGTGGCACTTTTAAGATTAACTGTTACACACACACACACACACACACACAAGTTATTTTGTAAGGTGCTACGGAGCTCTGTCTTTTTTTAGTTTTTATTTTTTCCTTTGAGTTTTGCCTGATATGCTTGCATTGACAGCTAGATCTTTTGAAACTACAGCTATGTGTTCGTGTGAGAAACCTTTCTGTTGACTCATTAAGAAATATACATTACATCCAGTATTGTGGTCGTACATTTTGAACTACAAGCACTGACAGCATCCACAGCCATATCCCAATCCAAAAAGGCAGGCAGCTGTTTTGATCCATATCAACAAATGAGTTTTAAACTCCATCAGAACAGAAATTTTGAAATGCAGGAGGATAGGAATTCACATTCTAGACCAAGCCACCCACAATTATTTTGTATCGCAACAAAGATAGTTCATAGTAATATATTATTGCTGGGAAAATAATTTCTGTCCCATGGGCTGTAAAGACTGCAGCTAAGCTCACACAAATAGGTGAAGCAGGGTGGAGTGATATATGTTGTCCTCATGCTCTCTGCTAATCAAAAGGCCCAGGCACTTTAAGCCTCAGCCATGATTGCTACAGTTTCAATTAGATACTAGTTTTCATCCAGGAAGAACCCAAGTTGTGAACGTTTCTTCCTGCCATTTTTCTTCACAACAGCTCCGTGAGATGGTAGACTGAGATTAGATGATAGACTGAGGGCCTAATCACACCTGCCAAATGAACCCCAGTTCTACTGATTCTTTCCATGCCTGTTGTATTGGTACATTTTTTCCAGCAGTCATGTATATATATTAGCAAGAGTGTTCACATTGCTTTTAACTGTATCGATTCACTTCTTTCTATTTGAACTGTTATAGCAGGCTACATTGCTCTTTAATTTTGTATCGATTCATTTTCTCTACTCTTTCTTGGGACAGTCAGGCCCTCCTTTGCACTTAAAAAACCCAACAAAGCTGGTATTTCAATACAGAAATACAGTGGTACAGTACAAGGTTTCTCTCCTCCTCCCCTTTTTCCTTCCCTCTTCCGTGCATATCTTCCCTGTTGAACAGTGTCAGGAGGAGGAAGTGGGTTTTGAAAGACTTCAAAAGTATTGTGAAGAGCAGGATTTTAAAAATGTCAGTACTCCTTTCTTTACAACTCAAAGCAGGAAATTTCAAGCCTTTTTTCACCCACAAGGGAAGGGAGGCCATCTCCTTGTTAGCAATGCATTCATGTTGCTTTTTTGTGGCACTGTCATTAGTGGATCCTAATACTGATTTGTCTATACTTTGTTAAAAAAAATTAAAGGATACAAGTGCAGTGGCCATGAAGTGGCCAAAGCGCCCAGAACCCCAATGTTCACACCGGCTGAAATGATAAGGAATGAAGTGATTCATCATTGGTACGAAAGAAAACAATCTCCTGGTTGGGGGAAAATAAACTGGAAGTAAACCGATGGCCGGAAAAATGAGTAAATCTTGGCCATGCATCATGTGAATGAAAAATTATGAAGCAATCTAAATAACAGCCATATCACTGGGGTTCTTTTGGCAGGTATGATCGAGCCCTGAGATGTGATGATTGACCCATTAATTCTTCCCTGAATTTTACAGCTGAATTGAGATTTTAATCTAAGTTTCTCCAACACACTGACCTTGCCAGAGCATTAGTTTTCAACTAGTATTTTAAAATTCCAGAAAATTCAGGGCCTGCTGATGCAGTACTGCTAAAGTAACAAGCGGCAAAAGGCTCTTCTGTACGTCTTCAGTTTTTTTAAAAAATCTGATGAGTTTAGATACAGTGTCTTCTCTCCTGCACCTGTTTAGCTCAGTCCTTAATTACTTGGGATCAAATTAGATGAGATAGTGCTTTGCTGATAACATGTTACTTCTTTGGCAATGGAAGGTTCAGACATGTGTAGTCAGAGTTGCAAGTGAATTCCATTTTTACCTCCCAGTGAGCAATCAAAACAACAATAAAAACAATAAGCAGAGCCCACAAGTTAATTTGCAAGACTGAAGAAAAGCTGAAACTAGTAGTGTTTGAGTAATTCCATTGGGCTGTTGGATTGGCTGGCTCTCCCATGCTCCCACAGAGCCTCCTGGGCTTGCATGCAGCCTGGGAAGGAAAGGAGAAGATGCAATCTGATCTTCCCATGTTCTGGGGCTTATTGGGCCACAAAAAAGGTACCACATAAGGAGGCAGCATGGGTGACCTCGCTTATTGTTTTTGTCACACCATGCATAATTTTGTACACCTCTTATCATTTCTCTCCTGAATTGCATTTTCCCAAGCCAGATTTGCAATCTTTCCTCATAGTGATGATGTTCCAGCCTCTTAAAACATTTTCTCTTTCTCTGCACCTCTTCTAGCTGAAGTGTATCATTATGAGATGCCATAACCAGAACTGCACAAAACACTTCATAGTGCTGGCAGCATGAAATCTGTAATATTTTCAGTTCCTTTCTTTATCATGCCTTACTTAAAATGGTTTTCTTCACAGCAGCAACTCACTGGGTCAAAAATTTTATCAAGCTGTCTCTGACAGTGCTGAAATCTTAATCTTAATCACCATCAGAGCAGAGCCCAATGTTTGAAATACTGTATGGAGTTTCAGTTTTGAAACCCAATGTTTACGCCTTTACAAGGGCTTAAGCTGAATTTTGGTTCCCAAGTTGAGAAAGTTTTTTGGGGAATCAGTTCATTTTAGTTTTAACCACCTAAATAACTTAGTGACAGCAGCAAAATTGGATGCGTCACTGTTTAATCCTTACATGGAATCATTTTTGAACAAATTAAGAAGTACCTGTTCCAATTCAGAACTGTTGCAACTCCCTCTTCCTTTTGCATGTCTCCATTTTAAATATTCACTGTTTTGAAGGTTCTGCAGCAGTTCTTGTAATCTGTTCCAAAATATTACATATACATTATCTTTTTCTTCCAGGATGCAGAATATTTTTATTTCAGAAGCCCTGATCTCCTGTCTCTTCGTACTGCATTGATCATCCATCTAAGGAAAAACACTAAAGCTATAATACACACTGAGTTTACCAGCTGCTTGGACTCCAGTTGGCAGAATTTTCTGAAACATAACTATCCATATTTCTTAATAATCTCTGATGAAGGATTGGATGAACTGCAGACCAATTTTCTGCATATATTTATTATGCAGACCTTGTCAAAAAGAATCAATGTCGTACTGACTTCAGGCCTACAATCAGATACAGTCAGAGTCTACGGGTACCATATCCACAGTTTTCACCGTCATCAATGTTTTTTTCAGAAGGTGAATAGTGATGAAGATAATTCTACTAACTAAATTAATGAAATTATCCATCGGGCACCAGTCTTGATATGAGAGATTTTCTGTGTCATCACATAGATTTGATTTTTATATTAACAGACGGTCAGAAGAGGGTAGTATTTGCCACTTCAGTGTATTCATACTTCCTGTTCTGTTTCCCTAATTTTGATCAGGGCAATGTTGTGACAAGAATGTTCTTGAAGCATCACTAAGAAAAACATTTGTTTTTATCAAATGTACTGTACTTTGATTTCATTGCCATCCTGAGCTATTTAGTAACACTGAATCAACTGTTGTAAACCCTACTAAGTAATCAGATGTTTCACAACAGCATATGTAGCAATAATAAATATTAGCTATTGGAATTTGGCCAGTATTCTCTTGTGTAGTTTTCCATGTGCAACAGGAGTGACATCACTGACTAGAGCCAATTGTTGCTAATTAAAGAATTCCTTTTTAAAAAAAAAACTTCAGGTTGTGCACAGTTTCATATTGTATAAAGATTGTGTGTACCTAATTTTTTTTTTAAAAAAATCTAATTAGTAGCAATCTGCCACTTTTGCTAAGTCAGTCCTGTTGGGTGGGTAAAGCTATGCAACATACTGCTGTCCTTTGTGTCTGTGATGATTAATTACCACCAAAAGCATTTGTCTCACCTACTGATTCTCCCATACAAATTATTTCCAATAATGCTTTTTAATGCTCATCTTTCTTCCATTGTGGACCTACATGACATTTTCCCATCCATGCACTGACTGGATCCAAAAGCAGCTTTAGTAAAGTGGATGAATTATGTTTGTTCAAGGAAGTCCTTGGGATCCAGAGTTCTTTCCAATTTTGTCTTGTGTTTTTCTTGAAAAATGTGCTTTAGTTAACAAGTATTTTCCAAGGTAAATGTTTCTTCTCCCTAAGGTACAGATAGCATGCTGTAAAAATCCTTTTTTGAAAATTGAAATGTTTTGTATAAATTGAAATAATAGTACTAGGAAGTGGAATTTCCTAAACTGGGAACTATGGTTGATCTTTCTGACAGAGCTGTTTCTGACTCCAGAGGAACCTCACTCCCACTTCAACCTCCCTCAGCACACCAAAATGAGAAGGCTAGAAAACTTTTGGGCTTCATAAAAGTTTTTGTGGGAAAGAAGGGGAATACAGCTCTGACAATCTGGCACTCTGGCAGCAGTGTAGCATTAGATTTAGGTCTGAGTAAAGTAGTCTTGAATATATACAACAGGCATACCAATATTATTATTATAATAGGATTGATAAATATTTCCTCCCTGATTAATTAGGATACTTTGTTTGGTTATTCAAGAGTTTTAAAAATCACTATGGTCGTGGTCATGTAGGCTTCTTCAGTGAACTGGAGAATGTAGTCCATTTCGATTCCCAGTTGTTTGGAGAAGACTACACAAAGATGGCTCTCTCTCCCTCCAGTGCCTAACATTCTGTGGTGAGAAGCAGAGTTGAGCCGAAAGGCAGTGTTTTAGGCAATCATTGCACTTTATTTATACAGGCTTGAACAAAATGGTTGTTTTAATTTTATTGATGAATAATGATGACAATGATGGCAGTAATAGTAATAAAGAACAAAACAGTGAATTGGTTTGTGACAAATTCAACAAGATGAGAAAGTGCTAACTTTGGCTGGCTGATCTGGTATTATTATTTTTCCTTTTCAGCGTGAAGCAATGGTAAAACGTTACTATGAAACACTGATTAAATACTTGAAGGAAGTCAATATAAAAATATGTGTTTCTCTTTCTGGATGTCCAAGTCTGAACACTTTGACAGCAAAGGTAATATTTATTTCTGTATATACCATAATTAGCATTATGTTGCCACCATGGCCATCATCATCATTATTTAGTATTTCTAATATGTATAAAATATATAGAAAGCATGATGAAGATTTAAGTCTCTGGTGGTTTCATGTAACAATTGGATTAAGACATTCTAAAGGAGGGTAGGGAAAATAATAATTTTAATAAATTATGAAGTGGAAAGAAAACATTAAGTAAGAAAGAAAGAGGAAAAGGCAGATATTCTTTATTTTTAAGTGACCAGGTCAGGAGCTCAAATGAATGACAGTACTGTAGATACAGTGGTATGGAAAGAAAGAAAGAAAGAGGAAAAGGCAAATATTCTTTATTTTTAAGTGACCAAGTCAGGAGCTCAAATGAATGACAGTATTGTAGATACAGTGGTCTATCTTTGTAATCTGTCCATACCAGATGTGAATCTGGGCTTCATTACTGTCAGAAAGATGTGAAGGAACTACAGTAGGTCCACCATATCCACATGGGATTGGTTCCAAACCCCCCACCCCACCCCACGGATGCTGAAAAATACAGAAGACAGCACTCTTCTCACCCTCACCGATAACTGAAGGTGAAGGCAACCCCTTGGGACAAAGCAACGTTGTAGTGTGGCCCTGAGCACAATATTCTTAGGGATACAGAGGTCTGGTGGGCTTGTTGGCCTGAGATGGTCTCTTCCTGTCTCTTTCTCTGCCCCTTTCTGTTCACCCCCCCCGCCACTGCCCCATCCCTTCCATAGCACCACCACCAGCCCACACGAGCTCTCTCCATGCAGGCTGTCCTACATCTTCCCTGCCAAGGGGCTGCAGTTCCTGGCCTAAAACATTTTGTGAGGAAGGGGCATGCAGCGGTTGCTAGCTCTGCCATCGCCTCCATTGCAGCAGTGGGGGAGCAGCCAGGAGTGGCACAGCAGAGCTGTCCCTGCTCCCGTCTAGTGGGGATTCCGGCATCTCAGCACTCCCCCACCTGTGCCCATCTGTTCGGGGGTCTTCAAGTTGGGGGGGGGAAGTGATTTTAGCCCCATCTGTTCGGGGGTCTTCAAGTTGGGGAGAAGTGATTCTAGTTGCACCCCAATCCATGCCTGCCAGCTCTGAAGGGGCCTGGGCCAGTGCAGCTTTGCCAACTGACCCTGAGCAGATAGGGCAGTAAGGGTACAGCAGCAATGGGGGAAACCAAAGGATCACTCTGCCCCTCTCAGCCAGGTCCACCTCTGTTCTTACCTCCACAGTCAATCTGGAGTGGCCACTTGGCATTGCCTCAGTTTCACTTTGGAGCCACAGCTGAGAAGACTGAGTGGGGAAGGCACTGCAGGCAACCGAGGCAAAAAGCCATGAAGGCAGGCAGGATGGACAGATGCACCGCCATGCCTGGCCCATCTCAATGGAGAGGGCATCTCCTCAGCAGCTCTCTCCCTTGGTGCCCCTTTTTCTCAAGCAGCTCCGCTTCATGGCACTACCCCAGGAGCTTCTCCTGCCCCCCATATGTTGCCCAGGGGGGCTGGCAACCCATGCTACACCATTGGGACAACGGTGCCTGCAAGGAACTCCAGTTCTCCAGCTGATCCACACAACAGTTACTTGAAGGGAAGGCTGAGCAAAGAGGCTGCCTCCACCTCAAGAGGGCAGCTCACCTGCATGTTGAACTGCTTGCTGATGCTCTGCACACACTTGCACCCACATTAATGCAAAGCCAGTCCACCCTAAATGCTGACCCAGAGATGCCCCATCTCCAGGGCAGATTGCTTTCCAAGCCGCTTATTTGTTGTTGGTTTTTTTTTACCTGTGGGTAAATCCCGCAGGCAGGATAAAGCATGCCAGTGGACAGGCTTGAAGCAGCCAGAGACCATGCTATGTACAGTATTCTTCATAGCACACTCTCTGGCTCCCTCTATGGCCAGTTTTTGTAATGCATATGATTTTTTTTTTTGCATTTTCAAAATTATTTTTAATATTTTGAGACTGCAGATTCAGCAGATACTGATCCCACAGATAAGAGGACACTACCCTGTATTACCTGGGTAGTGCAAGGATAAAAATCTATATTTTGGGAAGTTTTTTTGTTAGCAGTTATGCTGTACTGTGAAAGAGATGTCAAAAGAAGAAATATAATATAGAGTAACTTCAACTTATCCACACATGAACAAGTCATGCAAGCCTCTGATTTTTTGAAAATCTAGTTTTTCAGTTACATCTAAAGAAAAAAAATTACCATTATTTTTGTATTTGAAATGCTAGGTTTCTAAAAAACTCATCGAATTCCAAGAAAAAAATGAAGATATCCGGTATGTTGTCTGTATCATCAGCTGTTCACTTGTCTTGGAAATGCACAAGCAGGTATTAGAAAGCCAAAATCCTTCTACAAAACTGGTAAGAACTTGTTGAGCACTACAATAAATTGTAACTGAGAACAGTGTTCCGTAGGGCTTAGTCTCCAGTATATTTGTTCAGGACTGTATCCTTAGTGGACCTGCCAGGTTCACTCACTAGTCGCTGCACAGCGCTGGGGTCCTTCATTGTCATTGTCATGCCAATCCAGGGGGGAGTCAGACCCACAATTCCCTGCCTCCCCGCACAGCTGACTACTCATCACCCAAGCAAGGAGACATCCCATCTTGCCTTCTCACTAGAGTGGTCAGTTGTGCGAGGAGGCGGAGAAGTGCCAGCTGAGCTGCCTCCCCCACCCCGGATTGGCCTGACAACAAAGGATGTCAGCATTGCACAGTGACTGGTGAATGGACCAGCTGGTTCTGGGGGGAGGGATTGGGCCCCTGTGGTGCCACTATTCATATCCCCAGGAATACGAATACATGTCTAATTGTCCCAGTTACTAATCCTGTATGTATTTGAATTTTCTTCTCAAGATGAACAGTACTTTCATAATTATTACCAAGCCACTTATCTGTCTTTCTTTGACTCAAAGTTACTATGCCAACACTAGCAGCTACCACAACTCTGTGCTGCTGCTGACACAAACTATTTATCTGGTTGGATAGGTTTCTATCCAATTTGAATTTGATGTGTAGTGTTGGTACACCCAGGTGTCTTAACTGACTATTATATTTGAATTGTCCCTTTGAGGAAGAGGGTTGAATGAGATTGCTCTGTATGTCAGGTACGCCTAAGTCCCAATGAATTTCGTAGACATTTTTGAATGATCAGTTGTCTTTGGAAAGTATTTGTGTCAATTGTGCAATGTTTTATTGGCCACTGTTATTCCCATTGGCACAACATTGTTGACATTAAATTTCAACTGTGAATTATTGCAGTTGAAGAAATAGGTAAGGACATTGGCTATTGCACTACATGTGCGCTTGTAGAACCTACACGAGAGTAGGAATTTCTTCTCTTCATATCCTCCACATGGAGAAAGATGACAGAGGGGAGAGAGTAGAGGTTTCTCGGTAAGCACATTATTAATAGCTGGGTAGGTGATGACTGAATAGTATTTGTTCCTCAAAACAGAGTGATGGGGGGGGGTTATATGTATGAAAGCAAGGTATAAAGCAGGAAGTATCCTAGTCCTACTCAGATTGAGATTTGGAGAGACAAAGCCTTTATGCCAATGATGGCTTTAACTTGAATTTGTCAATTGATGCCAATCAGGTTCGCTGCCCAAATTAAGGGAGCAGTTCTTCATGGCCTCTGTGAATCATACCCTGGGTGATCCGCGCCTGTGTGGAGCCTCGTCGGAAAATTCTAGAGCTTCTGCGGTAGCAAAAAACACATTAGAATAAACCCCTCCTCCTTCGTATAAGTATTTTGGCACCAAGAGAGTCTTACTCTTGATTCCTTTTCTTTTTATAGTTTATTATTATTAACCTATATATATAAGAATGTTTATTTCTCGTTTTGCTCTGGCTTTTGCCTGAAGCACACCCCCACCTCATGCATTTTCCATTTTTCTACCTTTTTTTTTTGCTATTCATGGCCCCTTTAGGCCCATTTAAACACTGTGTGGTCTGCGATAATAAAATCCTGCTTTCCGACAGCCACACTAAGTGTCTTTTTCACTTAGGTGAGGCACACCAAATCTCTTCTTGCCCTCACTGTAAGAACTTTAATTGTGGAGTCCTCTGCACCCGTCTCTCTAGGCTTAAACTCTGTCTTTAGGAACAGTCCCTCCAGCCATCAAAAATCATGGCTCAGCCTGCTTGCAAAACCACCTCTCAAGCTAAGGCTGTGGAAAAAGCCATTTCAGAAACCTCAAAGCAGTGTCCTTCAGCCACACCATCACACTCCAGTGCCCCATGAACATCATCAAAATCTTCTAAGGGACACAAGGTTAAACACTCAATGTTGAAACCTTCGACATCGAAGTCCTCCACAAAAAGAAAACTGCTCCCTGAACCTTCTTCAGTTCCAGAACCTTCACCGCCTAAGAGAACCAAGCCACTTAAGTCCAAAGTCCCTGCAGTCGCTCCTCAACAGCTCCTGGAGTCCTGTGACCTAATTTCTGTGGGTTCACCCTCTGATGACGATGGACTTTCATCCCATCAACCATGTTCTCAATCACCTGAATGGGAAGAATGAGTGGACCAGCTTACATCCTCTCCTGCGAGCCCCCAACAATCCGTTTCTCCCAGCAACCTTTCTATGGCTGGTTCGCCTGACAGAGCAGAGTCTGAGCCACAGCCGGATACTATGCCTTACTTGGTGGCACCAGGCCTACCACCACGGCCTCTGGTATATCATCAAGTGCAACATTTATACGAGGTGAATGTTCCATTATCGCATGCGACATCGACCCATGCTCAGCACTCTCATCTGGTAGCCATTTGCCCCGATCAGTGCTCTACTAGAAAATCTGCCAAGACCGCTCAACCAGTTACTCTGCCCAGTTCGGCGGCAGTATTACACCAGAGACCACAGTCTTGATCGCCCTCAGTGTCAAAGCGATCTTACCATCAGGATCCTCTAGGGCATCAGACTATTTACTATCCGGCACTTAAAAGGCCCAAGACAGTCAAGCAACATATCTTGACTCGTGAGGCCTTTTGCAGCCCCAGTAAGCCAATATTTTCCAGCTCTTCAGGGGGATCGAGACCACTCCACACGGCCAGCATCTGTTTATTCAATACGTCTACTGCCCCGGCAACAATCTCCATTCCATCACCATCGGAATACAGGCTCTGATATCCATCTTGGTCCACGGATGACCCATCAGCTCCATTACCGATCAGTGACCCTCAGCACCTACCGTTATCTGAGCCCTGAGTCCATCATCACCACGACATTGACTATTGTACCAAAGACCAGCGGATGACCCATCAGCTCCATTACCGATCAATGACCCTCAGCACCTATCCAAGCCCTGAGTCCATCATCACTACGACATTGACTATCGTACCAAAGACCCAGGATATCAACCTATGTCCATGGACACTCCATTAATGTTGCTGTTGGTCGATGAACATCGATGTCGGCAGATGTCCATGGACATACCACCTCCATTGGTGTCAGGTCATCAGCATCAATATTATGATTCACAGCCTCTTGACACTGAGGTTGATCAGCACTCTGCTGACTCCTGACGTGATTCTGAATACTCGGATCAGGGATCCAGACCACAAACTCCATCTATCTTTCTCCGTTTGACCTCGCAGATGCCGACCCCCCATCTCCGGCAGAGGATTTTCAGAATTATGCACAACTGATGTAGTGTACAGTGGGGTCTCTACTTAAGAACGTCCCTACTTAAGAACAATTCCACTTAAGAACAGCTCCATTTGCTAAATTTTGCTTCTACTTGAGAACAAAAATCCAGATAAGAACAGGAAAAAAAACTTTGCTGCTCTTTTTTTAACCTTAGGTCATCTTAGGTTAAAAAAAAGTTCTCCCCCTAGTGGTAGAGTACGTATTAATCAGCTTTGCATTAGTTCCTATGGGAACTAATGCTTCAATGCACGAACGCACCTCTACATAAAAAAAACAGCCAGAACGGATTAATTGGTTTTCAGTCCATTGCTTCAAAATTAGCTTCGTCAGAAGTGCTTTTAACACTGTTCCCTGACCTAAGGGGAAAAAAAGAAAAAATCCCCCTCTAGTGGTAGAAGGCGGAATAGCAGCTTCCCATTAGTTTCTATGGACGGAAAAGAGCAGATACGGATTAAATGGTTTTCAATGCATTCCTATGGGAAATGCAGATTCTACATAAGAACTTTTCCACTTGAGAACCACCTTCCATTACGGATTAAGTTCTTAAGTAGAGACCCCACTGTATGGCCGAATCTCTGGACCTCCAGATCCACAGACCTACAACTGAGCTAGCGGATCACCTCTATGTTCCAATCTCCAATGATACAACCACTCCGGTTAATATTTCTATGTTACCATCTCTTCTCAGCACTGCACAACGATCATGGACAAAGCCAGTTTCATCCCATTTGATGTTGAAACAGATTGACAATGTTTACTGAGTCCACGATCCTGGAACGCTTTTTCTTCAGAAGTAACCAGCTCCGAACCTGATATTTGTAGAGACCTCACAATCTTGGTCTCAACATTGCCAAGCCCTTGTACCACCCAATAAGGACAGTAGGAGAATCGACTCTATGGGCAGATGGCTTTACTCCTCTGCTGCTTTCACCATGCAAGTGGCTAATTATCAAGGAGCTAAGGGTGCTTATCTGCGTTTCCTTTGGGATAATACAGTGGTGCCTCGCTTGACGTTAATTCATTCCAGCGAAATCGCTGTAGAGCGAAAACATCATCAACCGAAATAAAAAGATTGAAACGCATTGAAAACTGTTCAGTGAGTTCCAATGGGTTGAATACTTGCTCGTGCAGTGAAGATCCTCCATACGGCGGCCATTTTTGGTGCCTGTAAAGTGAAGAATCCATCCTAGAAAACAGTGGGGGCCATTTTCTTCAGCCAGTGGCCATTTTGAAACCCAACGATCAGCTGTTTGCAGCGATCACAAAAACCTAATCGTACAGCGATTTCCTCATTAAGCAAGGCAATAGTTAAGTGAGGCACGACTATGTCCACCTTTGTTGAAGCCTTACTAGAAGACAAAAATGTGCTCACCCAAACATTCCAACAAGAAGGCCTATCTGTTGCCAGGCAGCAAATGCTATAAGCTAGACACACTGTTGATTCAACAGCTAAATCCATGGCTACCTTTGTAGCTCTTCAGTGTTTCTCTTGGCTAAGAACAGCTGGCCTCGCTGGGGATGCATGGGCGCGCATTGAGGACCTTCCCTTTGACGGGACTGGCCCATCAAAAGAAGAGATCGGCTGTGAGCAACACAGCTTAGTGACTTTGTTTCGCAACTTCACTCCTCATACTCTTGTACCCACTTTAACCGTTCAGCACATTCTAGGTCCCATGGCATCTATGACGTTGTACAACAGGTACACCTGAAAATGAAATCTCTCCAGTCATGGTTTCTTGCCCTCTTCAGCCCTCTAACAGACCCTCCTCACGCTCTTTTGAAGGTCACTCCAGAGCCATGGCATCTATGACATCTGTTGTACAACACGTACACCTGAAAATGAAATTTCTCCAGTCATGGTTTCTTGCCCTCTTCAACCCTCTGACAGACCCTCCTCACACTCTTTTGAAGGTCACTCGAGAGATTGCCTCCCAACTTGCATGGTGGCGTTTTCCTCTAAATCTCACAATAGGATGACTGTTTCAACTACCGCATCCTCAAATACAGGTCACGACCAACGCCAACCTTACAGGCTGGGAGACACACTGCAAATCCCTCAAGATACATGCCAAATGGTCTCACAAAGAAAAGTCACTCCACATAAATGAATTACAATTACTGGCAGTGATAAACGCATGCAAGGCCTTCAGAAACCTTCTTGTCAGCGAGATGGTACAGATTGTCACCAAAAATACTACGGCCATGTACCAGAAACCTTCTTGTCAGCGAGATGGTACAAATTGTCACCGAAAATACTACGGCCATGTACTACAGTACATCCTCAAACAGGGTGGCACCCACTCCCCAAGTCTTCTCTATCTAGCAGTCAACCTCTGGTGCCTGTCACACCACATTTGCCTCACAGCTCTATACATAGCCAGCCAAGACAACTACCTGGCAAACCTCCTCAGCCACACAAACTCCCAAGCTCACGAATGGGAATAGGACCAGTCAATTTTCCTCCTCCTTTGCAGGCAGTAGGACGAAACAACTCTCAATCTGTTTGCATCCCATCAGAATCGGAAGTGCAAATGCTTTTGCTCCTTCGCGGGAGTCGGCGAATGCTCCCGTGGATATGTGTTCATCAGCTGTTGGCCCAGGACCCTTACTGGGGTCTATCCACCATTTTCACTCCTCCACAAGGTAGTAGTCCACCTGCAACAAGACAAACCCAATGCCATTGTCATAGCCCCTTGGTGGCTGCGGCATCTCTGGTTTCCAGTTCTCCACAACCTGTCATCAGACATTCACTATAGACTGGACATTCGGCAGAAAGCTGATGCGGCCTTTGGACATGGTGTTCTAGCTTCTACTTTGGTGTGACACCCTGCCTCCAGGTAAGACCGCTTGCTGTCACCCAGGGTGTGATTCACAGAGACCACGAAGAAGAACATATAGCAGGTTACCCACCTGTAATTGTAGTTCTTTGAGTGGACCTCTGTGATTCACACATTCCACCCGACTTCCCCACTGTTATGCCATGCAGCTCTTTTTTGCCGCGGTTGACACAACTGAAGGGAGAGTCTTGGCACCAAGGTACTTATATGGAGAGGTAGGGGTCTATTCTAATGTGTTTTTTGCTACCGCAGAAGCTCTAGAATTTTCTGATGAGGCTCTGCACAGGCGTGGATCACCAAGTATGTGAATCACAGAGGTCCCCTCGAAGAACTACAATTACACTTGGGTAACCTGTCGTTCTTGCTTCTTCAGTATAGAAGGAATGGGGAATGACAGCCTTTCCAAGTTTTGTTTGGTATGTGTCTTCCATCTGCTGAAACTAACATAGCAGATGGTGATAGATCATGGGCATCAGAACTTCTGGAAGGCCATATATTTCCCCAGTACAGTTCATTCATGTATGTATATTTGCAGCATGAAAGCTGAAAGCCTGGAACAGGAGAAATTTTCTTTTAAAATGCAAATTGTAGGATGTGCTTCATGCTCTCTGTCTCTCAATTTCTTTCTCTTCATTTTAAAGAAAAGTGTGAACTCAGCATTAACCATGGAAGAAGCTGGAGATCTTATGAGGCTGTATTGCCTCAGTGTGGTTTTTCTACACCATTTGCCTCTTTCACAGAGAGCTCAGGTTAGGGACATTGATGTCTGCTGGAAGACGGAAACCTTAAAATTTTTACAACAGGTAGATATTCCAGTGAATATTCCTAATATGCAACTATGTCAGTGTTGGCTTATTTTTTTTTTTAAAAAATGCTAACCAAGTAGGAGCTAGGGTGTTAATTTTGTGATGGTTTGAGGGCCCTTGTCATGCTCTTCATTTTTAGTAGGGAATGTTGAATGAGCAGATCTTGAGAAGTTATTTTTTTGTAGGGACAACGCTGGCTGGGAGATTCTGGAACTTTTTTCTAATGTGAATGGAGAAGTGGTGCCCCTCAGCTCTGTGGGCAGGAGATGTTGACGGGGGCAGTGGGATTGATCATGAAGGCACTCTACTTGGTTAAAGGTTTATTGAGGGGTTCAGTCAATTATGTGGTTTATGGAGGGGATCCTATCACTACTCACAAGTCCTTTGTGCAGGCCTATCACATGTCTGGCTCCAGAGGCTCACATTGCCTTCCTTGAGGGGAGGCCATCTCCATTAAATAGTCCCTCAGTGTCTCCAGGTGGTTCATGTCACCCCTGTATGACCTTTAGTTCCTTGTGTCTTTTTCCAAGTTTTAAGCTACCTTGTTGCCCCTCCTAAAACCTGTCAGATCTGGGTAGATAGCAGCATCATTGAAGATAAATAGGCCCTCATTTCAACCATATTTTTTTTGGCTGAAATGAATAGATAAGAGAAGAAGAAATCTGGCCGATTGCCCTCCTCCTCCTCCTAACCCCAACAGTAGCAAATCCAGTTCTTCTGGAGTTCCAGTCTGGCCTTCTGGTACTCCAAAAGTCAGTGGTTTCTTTGGCGTGATGCCATTGATTGGTGGTTTCCCAGTACTTGTGCGGCTTTTTCATTCTGAAAGTGCCTCTCCTAAGAGTTCATTATTATCTGACAAAACATTGAGCTAAAAATATTCAGGGGTCTCTCTCTCTCTCTCTTCTTTTGTATTCTGTGGATTGCAGCTCCTAAGACCCTATCTCTCTGAAACTAAATTTGGTCCTTGGTCTGAAAGAAGTTCCCCTCTGGTGATACAGGTCTTTTTGTCTGTGACCCTAATTCTAGCATTCTTGGAAAGGAAGAAGGACTATTGACGAACTGCATAGAACTGGACATTTGTGACCATGAAAATGTTTTATGCCTTCCATGGGGAGGCCATCATGGGCTGTATCTAACCAAAACTCTTAATTTGCCTATCTAAGTAAAAACTGTATCCTATTTTTCATTTTGTGGATGGGTACCCTACCCCATAGAAATGAACAGTAGTCTTCTTGTGCTGTGTGTTTTACTTAGATTTCTTTTCTTTTCTTTTCAGCATAAGCTGTGTGAGTTTTGTGTTCTGCAGCAGCTTACCAATGAGACCTCGCAGAACATGGATTTTTCTACCCTTCCTGATTTAAGTGATAATCTTTTGTGGAAGAACATTGCTTTTTACTACGAATCAGAAAAAGGCCAAGGTCTTTCTTGCCTATTAAATAATTTGATTGTAATGTTTTTAGACATAGTAGTTTCATAGTGTGAAGTGAGCCTAGTGTGGAATGTTAATAAGAGAGGAAAATCTCTGCTATCTATGTCTGTTCTTTGGGCAAAAAGAAAGGTTCTTTTCTTTTTTTGTATTCCAGTAAGTCCAGTTTTACTGGAATTGGCAGTAATGTAGACGATTGGAACAGCTCACCATTACCTTTCTCCACGATGTTCTGTTGGTGAATCTTAAAAGTACAGAATATGCATACTGGGCTAGCTAAGACTTCATAATAAAAAAGGATTTATAGGATTTGTCACTTCCTTGAGCTTTCTCCAGCATGGAAGAATGGTTTTGGTTTTGCACTATGTTTGAATCCCAATTTTTATCTTAACTATGGTTTCTTGAAATGAGCCAACATCATAATCATACTGAAAAATTGGATTGCTTCAAAAAAAGTATAGTTTAGAATTTTTTTGGCTTCCAATCTCAATAAAGCTGCTGTTAATTAAAAATGGCAATATAAGCTTTTTGTAGTTGTCCCCTGGAAGGCAAGGAGAAGGCCCAAGTGTCCATGGTAGCATGTTGAGGCTACAGTAAATCATAAACAGGGCTTGAAAAATGCACTCGTCTACTCATCTGTGATGAGTGAAAAATGCTGCTGGATTAGCCACATCTCCCTCCCTCCCTGCCTTCTTTCCCTTCGCCTCTCTTTCTTTCTTTCTCTCTCTCTCTCTAATCCTGCAGTCCCCCCCTCCAGTTACAAAAAGAAAACTGCCCTCTTCTCATGAGAAGAGAGTTCAAGCAGCACATAGAGATATAGCTTTGCAGGAGAATGTAGAGTAGTCCCATGCCGGAGAATATGGAGATTCCCTGCTTCCAATGTAAACTAAACTATCAGGACACATCCTGGGGTGGGAGGGAACCTTGGCTCCTTAAGAGGCCGGGTGCTTTTGCTTTCAGTTTTATTTTTGCTGGAGACATTAAAAAGAAAGGCATTCAAAATACAGTACAAGCTTCATGACCGCACAGGCACGCAAATAATAAAGCAACCCAAGTCTGAGGATATAAATCATTGATTTCCAGTTACAATAAATTGCAAGGCTATAGTCATGCCAACTGGTGAAATTTTGGACTGACTGGTGAGACATTCTGAAATTTTCAAGCCCTGATCATAAACTATATTTTAATGCAGATACAGTGGTACCTCGACTTACGATGTTAATCTGTTTTGGAACGGTTTTGTACGTGGACAAGTTTGTAAATTGAGGCAAACTTTACCATAGGAATGCATTGAAAACCATTTAATCCATACCTGCTGTTTTCTGTTTGTATGTCGAGGCGCTGTTCGTAGGTAGAGGCACAGGAACTAATGCAAAGCTGTTTAATCCATACTCTACCACTAGGGGGATATTTTTTATTTTTCTTCTTTTGACCTAAGATGAACTTAGATTAAAAAAAAAAAGGGCAGGAAAGGTATTTTTGTTCGGGTGTTTTTGGTTCGTAAGTTGAGGCTCCGTTTGCAAATCGAACCAACTTTTTGCAGACGGAGCCGTTTGTAACTCGAATCATTCGCAAGTGGAGACATTTGTAAGTTGAGGTACCACTATATAGGCAAGCGGAGCTTATGTAGAGCCCACCAGTTCCTTTTTTTGTAGATACCAATGGTCCCCACAATTTTATTTTAATTTGGAAATGCAATATCCTGGAAATGCAATATCCTGTCCAGCAAAACCACTAATCTTTGGAGGATTTCTGGATTTTTTATTTTTAAAATAATTAATAGATGTTTCTTAAAAATTGAAAAAAAATAGGGATGTACAGAAGCCCCCTGATATGTTGTGTACCCAGATAAAAGCATACAAATCTGGGTCAATCTGTCCTGTACCCTAATGGAAGATATTTCAACCACTCTGTCTCTGGGTCTATAACATTACCCCTGTGTTTTTGGATTTTGAATTTTAAAGAAAATCCTGTGAAAGCGGAAACATAAATGGCTATGACCTGAGGTGGGACACTCGCTATGCAGCACTGTGATTGTTGATCTGTCCACTCACAGCTCACACAACAGTCATCCTTTTGCAATTAAGCACACACTCAGTCCTATATAATTTAATAATGTTTCTGTAAAGTTTAGTAAACCAACCAAGAGAGAACAAAGAAAAAGGAGAATGCTCCAAAGTGTAAGAAGGCTGTCTAAATACCAAAACAAGTATTTCTCTTTGTCTGCAGCTTTGCAAAATGGCTGGCAGAGTACTGCAAGAGGATGTATATACCTCTGTTTGAGCCTTCCCCAGCACCTTAATTGTTGTAGTCTCCAGGAGAGATCTTGAGCCTTTTTGGAGAGTTTAGCTCAGGTCATTTACTTTCTCCTTTCGTGCCAGCAGCTCAGTCAACAATGTTAATTTCAATTTCCGCTTTCCTGATTTCAAACTGCTGCAGATCTTTTTAATCCTGTAAATGCAGGATTGACTACCAGGTATATGTTATTTTGCTGCTCTGCCTATGGGTGAGCAGCAGCATCATGATATGTGACATAATCACCACAGAATTACACAAACACCCTTTTTTTGTGTTATTTTTGTAGATTTGTTAGAAGAGTACATATCTGTTGAAAAGTAGGGCACAGTCAGTATGTGACTAAACTAGTACCTTGAAAATGAGGAGTGATGATACGTATTGCTTATTTTGTAACTGTATCCTGGAGAAGAAGTAATGGCTAATAAGTAACAAGCTAAGACTTGGATTCAAAGATACAGGATGTTGCTGTAAAACAGCTGGAGGAGAGGGAATGCTGGGGAAAATCAGTAAGGGATTAAGCAGCTTGCTCAATTTACTGCTTCTCCACTTGAAACCATATCTTCCCACATCAGTTTTTAGTTGTTTTAGAAAAGATTGAGTTTGCTGCTCAAGTATCTTCATCAGATGTCTGGGCTGACTCTCTGTATTGAGTTGTACTGCAAATGTAGACTTAAGGCTGAAGACCTGTACCACATTTTCTTAGGGGTAAGCTGCATTGACCAAATGGAACATATTTTTGAGTAAATATGTATAAGATTGTGTTGTCAGCCTTGTCAAACAGGTTAGTCAATATTATTCTTGACATCCAATTTATACCTGTTGTTAATTTTCATGATTTATATTTTATAGGATTTGATTTGGATATAGGAAGCATAATAAATGGAGACTTCGAACGTTTGTGGAAATATATCTTAGCACTGTCTGAAACAAGTAATATAGGATCATCTTTTCCACTGCGAATCACTTCTAGCCATTTTCTTGAACAGCAGTATCCACTTCATAATGAAGGTAATACCTTTTAGAGTTTATATAGCTGAAGTATTATTTTATTTGATGTTTAACATTTTATTGGTAGTATACCAATAATATAGTTTTGCAGGGCAATGCAATAGTTGTTAAATAGTTTGATATTCACCTTGTGCTGTTTAATCAGAAGTAATTCGTGTAGGGCCTTAGGGCCTGATCACACCTGGCAAAAGAACTCCAGTTATACCGATATGGCCATTTTTAGATCATTTCATAAATTTTCAAGCACATGATGCACAGCCAAGATTGACTCATTTTCCTGGGCAGCAGTTTATTTCTGGTTTATTTTCCCCTCATCATGAGGGTTTTATTTTGTACCAGTGATGAAGCACTTCATTCCTTATTGTTTCAGCCTCTATGAACATTGCAGTCAGTTTCTTTGCAAAGGGGTCAGGCTTTTGGGCTCTGTGGCCACTTCTTGGCCACTGTGCTTGTATTCTTTTTAAAAAGTTTATTTAAAAGATATATTGACAAATCAGTATTAGGGTCCTCTGGCAGCAGCGCCACGTAAAAGCAACATGCCCACTCTCCTTTGCAGGTGAAAGGGCTTAAGATTTCCTGCTTTGAATTGTAAAGAAAGTGTCACAATTTGTAACCCTGATCTTCACAATACTTTTCAAGTATTTCAAAACCCACTTCCTCCTCTTGATGCAAAATGGAAAAGCTATGCAAGGAGGAGGGAAGGGAAACTGGGAGGAGGAAAGAAGTGTCCTCAAAAACTGAGAGGGAGAGATATGCAGGAAGGAGAGAAAGGAAAAGGGAAGGAGGAGATAAGCTATGTACCACTATATTTCTGTATCAATAAACCAGCTTTTGTAATCGAAAAAAAGAGGACAAGGGGGCTGATTGCTTCAAGAAACAGTAAAGATAATGAATCAATACAAAATTAAACAGCAGTGTAGCTTACTCTAACTGTTCAAATAGAATGAAATGAATCAATACAGTTAAAAACAAAGAACGCTCCTGCTGGTGTATATACCTCATGATTGTGAAAATTGTACAAGTACAACAAAGGTATGAAAAGAATCAGTATACTGCAAGTGGGGTTCCTTTGGCAACTGTGATTAGGGACTTAGTCTTAGTTATACAGGGATAGGATTGGTTATGTATGGGGTTCCAAATACTTTTATTCCGAACTACTATCAATATCTATCTTATAGTACTTATAATTTCATTCCTGCTTGTTCAATATATTTTAACCTTGTCAATTCACTTTCTTAACTCTCTCAGTTCAATTCACTAAGCCTCTTCTTCTCTCTCCTAGACCCTAACTGCCATTTCACATCCCCAACTGTCTCTCTCACTCCGCCCCCTCCTGCCCTATCCTTGGCTCCTCCCTTTTGAGCTTCTGTGATGGACAGGCAGGAATGACATCACCTGCTGGCATTTTGCCACATTCACTAATAATTTTTTTTTGTTTTTTTGTGGGTTTATTGGTAAAGATGCATCCAAAGCAGCATTTCCTAAACCAGGACTTATATCAATGATGAATACAATTGTGGATGAATTTGCTGGTGATGTTTTAAAGAAAATGCCATTTTTGAAAAGGTGCGTAACCTTTTATCTATTTTGATTTTTAAGACCACATAAGCAATCTTTCATTCATTAAACAGTGACCAAATGTCAGACTAGACTGATTCAATAAAAGAAGCCATGGGTCATTTTATTTGCAAGACTAGAGCAAGACTATTAATGATAGGACTTTCCAGAGTTCACTAATTCATAGGACTACTGGAAGTTGGAAGTGTTATGATAGCTCAATGTCAGAAACACTGATGAGGCAGGTAAAATTTTAACTGTATACTGGATCCAGACGTTAGCCCTATTAAAAGATTAAATCCTATGGAGGGGGAGCACTCATGCCTTGTTTTTCTTCATCATAATTTCTTCACCTTCCAAGGCATCAATAGTGACAATACTGAAACAGCTGGAGGATTCTCCTATATCTGGGGGTCTCCCTGGGTGGTGGAATTCTACTGTTCAAGCTTCTGATTCACATGGAACCTCCAAGGATAATGGTAGTTCTCCTGATTAAACTGTTTTCCTCCACACATAGGAGGGTGATATAATCAGAAACAGAAGGGGTAGAGCATTCAGCTCTTGAATAAGAGTTAAGTTGTACTTCATTCACATTCAAAGCAATCCTGGACACAGACATATAAAATTGTTGAAGTTGCTACCAGAAATAGCTAGTAATAAAACTATCTGGAACTGATTGGGGGCCTCATCTGCAAACTCTGTGAACATCAGTCCTGGCCTTGTATTTTTCTGCTGCTGAATATGCTTGTCTAGTGTGGTACAAATCCAGACATGCTAGATATGTAGGTATCGCACTAAGTGAGACATGTAAACTTATCGCTGGTTATATGAAACCAACCCCCAGAGATAAGGTATACTAAAGCAAAGCAAAGCGTGCTGCTTATATACCACCTCATAGTGCTTCAAGCACTCTCTGGGCAGTTTACAAGTTAATTATGCAGGCTACACATTGCCTCCCCCCCAGCAAGCTAGGTACTCATTTTACCGACCTTGGAAGGATAGAAGGCTACCTGGGATTGAACCCCAGGACGTGAGTACAGTTTTGGCTGCAGTACAGTGGTTTAACCACTGCACCATGAGGCTTACTATCAGGCAGGTATTGCTCCACCATAAGTACAATAGGAAGTGATAGCAAATAATGAAAGAAGTAAGGTAGCCCAAAATACAGTGGTGCCTTGCTAGACAATGATAATCCGTTCCACTGAAATCGCTGTTTAGCAAAATCATCGTCTAGTGAAAAGCTTTCCCCCACTGGAATGCATTGAAACCTGTTTAATGCGTTCCAATGGGGAAGAATCGTCGTTGTCTAGCGAAGATTGGCCATAGGAAAGCCACTTTGCGAACCTCCGATCAGCTGTTTAAATCGCTGTCTTGCGAAGCTTAGGTCCCGAAAACACCCATTTTGCGAGCATGGAGGGAGCTGTCAAAATCGTTGTCTAGCGAAAATCGGTTTGCGAAGCAGTGACCAAACATTTTCCAGCGAAATGCCCCCATAGAAATCACTATTTTGCGAATCGCTATAGCGATTGCAAAAAGTCATTGTCTAGCGAAAAAACTGTCATGAGGGGTAACTGTCTAGCGAGGCACCACTGTACCGCTTATATTTTATATGAGCACTAGCCTCCAAAGAGAAGATTGAAATCTGGAAAGAGCTTCTTAAACACTGCTACAGCAGTTTGGCCAGAGAAGGCCAGACTAAGTCTGTGGAGAAATATAACTATCGACCTAACATAGTGGTTCCAGTCCTGGGTCCCCAGATGTTCTTGGACTAAAACTCCCAGAAGCCTCCACCACTAGCTGTGCTGGCCAAAATTTCTGGGAGTTGCAGTCCAAGAACATCTGAGAACTCAGGGTTGGGTTTTCACTGACCTAGTGGAATAGATGAAACTGACTGAGCAGTGACTGCTACTGTTTCCTAACCACCTAACCACCTCTCACTGAAGTCTCAACCAGGGGGTGGTGATCATTTTTTAAAATTGTTTTTCTTCCCACTCTTTCCAGTGGGAGGGAATTAAAAGCAAAAAGCAAAGCATGCTGCTTATATACCGCCCCATCGTGCTTCAAGCACTCTCTGGGCAGTTTACAAGTTAGTTATGCGGGCTACACATTGCCCCCCCCCAGGGAGCTGGGTACTCATTTTACCGACCTCGGAAGAATAGAAGGCTGAGTCAACCTTGAGCCACTACCTGGAATTGAACCCCAGGTCGTGGGCACAGTTTTGGCTGCAGTACAGCGGTTTAACCACTGCACCATGAGGCTTAACTATGTCTGCTTCTGGTCTAGCAAAATTTATAGCTCTGTTTGGCAGGCAAAAGATCTTATGTATCCACAACCACACCAAACTTGTCTGTGTACGACCAGAACAGCCGTGTCAGCAGATATCTGGACAGGTCTTTGGTACCAGTTTCTCTCACTGCTGGAGATCTGCACTACCCAGTTGTCCCTTGAGTAGACTTAAAGGGAGATTGGGATAGTTCACTTAGCAAAGTTCTCCTTTTTAATTTAAATACACCACTGTGTCCCCTCTTAGATGCCTGTGTGATGTACAAATATGTAGGTAAATCAAAGAGCTTGGAAAAGTTACTTTTCAGACAATACTGTGATTATGATGATGGGGAGAATCTGGGAACTATTGTCCAAAAGAGTAACTCTCCTACATTTGAGGTAATTGTGATGAAAAAACGTGTAGCATATCTGAGTGTAGAACTGGAGTGTTTTCTGTTGTCTTTGCAGTGAATACATTGGATCGCACAACTAGATTATATACTTTGCAAGTGTTTAGAAGAGATATCCCTAAAAGTGATGAAAGATATCATAACACATTATTTTTCTCTCTTCCTTGAATTTAACATGGTTTGTTTTATGACTGGTCATAGGAAAGTAATCATAGGCTGAGTTTTTAAGTCTGATTGTGGAGGCACTTATCTCTTGAATGAGTTAATAGTTATCACTGTTTTGCCAACTTCTGTAATCAGTCCCAATACTTATTGGTTCATATATTCTACCCTGAATTAAGGGAAGTTTTAAACAAAAATGACAATTTTAATTATTTGTACATCATCCTACGCCTTTGTGTATGTGTCCTATGTGTATTTTTTTCATTTTTAGTGATGATCCTGTGATTACCTCACTTAAAAAACAGAAAGATTTTGATGAACTTAAGCACTGGCATTCAGGAAGACCCCTTAGTGATGATTATGACAGAACAGGTTCAGGTAAAAAATACAAAAACTTTTAACCTGATGTTTTAGTTCAGCTGTCATATTCAGTGCATGCACAGAGATAACGTATGTTTGTATTACAGGATTACACATGCTATGTCCAAGGGAGATCTATTTTCCTTTTCTACTCTTTGATATAAATGTTTACATTGCTAAATAAGAGTTAAGATTGTGCTTTCAAAATGAAACACTTATTTACTTTTTAAAAATACCATAAAATGTTGCAGATTAAATAATGGAACCATCTTGTCCTTTATGTACAAAATGGCACTATAGAAAGTTCTCTAGAGCAGTGGTCCCCAACCTTGAGCCTCCAGATGTTCTTGGACTACAACTCACAGAAGGCTTCACCACCAACTCTGCTGGCCAGGATTTCTGGGAGTTGAAGTCCAAGAACATCTGGAGGCTCAAGGTTGGAGACCACTGCTCTAGAGGGTCAAGCTTGCCTAAGATACTTTGTTTCCTGAGTTAAAAGGCAAGAATAACATCCCCATTCCATGGACAGGCATTTACACCTGGGTGTGGTGGAACAGGTTTAGTACCTGCAAGATGCCCTTATGCATGAACAGAAGGAAGGGGAAGGGCCAAGAAGCTCAGGAGGAAAAACTAAAGTTCTTCTTCGTGGCCTCTGTGAATCACACCCTGGCTGATTTGTGCCTGCGCAGAGCCTCATCAGAAGATTCTAGAGCTTCTGTGGTAGCAATGAACACATTAAAATATGCCGCTCCCCACCTGTATGAGTACCTTGGAGCCAAGCGTCCCCTTTCAGTTTCTTTCAACCGCCGTGTTGAGAGCCTCATCATTCTGCTTCTGTGAGTAAGAGAGAAAGAGAGCTTATCTTTAATTTCTTCCTGTTATCAATCTTTTTCTTTTAAAGTATTAGATCAAACTCTTTATCATCAGAGATTTTTTTCCTTTCCCCTCGCTTGGCCTCTGGCTGCAGCACCCCCTTCCTCTCATAACCATAGTTTTTTCTCCTCAGTTATTTCTCCTATTCAAGGCCTCTTTGGGCCCATTTAAGCACTGTGTTGTCTTTGATAATAAGATCCCACTTTCCGACGGACACACTAAGTGTCTTTTCTGTTTGGGAGAAAAACATCAAACTTCCTCCTGTACCCATAGGAAAAAATTTTAAGGGCAGAGTTCTTCGATCTCGTCTCTCGAGACTAAAACTCCAACTTTGGGAACAATCCTTACAACCAGTTGAAATGGCCCAACCTCCATGTAGGACCACTTCTCAAACCAAAGCAATGGAAAAAGCCATTACTGAATCATTGAAACAACGTCTATTGGCTACACCAGCTCATTCCGATTCTCCATCAGCATCGTGTAAGACCTTGAAGACACACAAGGTCCTTTGATACCAAAGTCCTTAATTTCGAAAACAACTTCTAAACCTCAGAGACCTACTGAAACTGCTCCAGCTCCAGTGCCTATTCTTCCTAAATGAGCTAAACAGTCTAAGCCTACAGACATCCCACCACAACCATGACTTTCTGAATCAATTTCAGTTGGCTACCCCTCAGATGATGACAGACATCCATCCCATCAACTCTATTCTTAGTCTCCAGATTGGGATGATAGAGTCAACCAACTAATGTCCTCTCCTCCTAGTCCACAACCTTTCATTCCTTCTAGCAATCGTTCGGTTATTCCATCGCCCGAAGATTCCCATCCCAAACAGCTCGACACCATTCCATATTTGATGCCCATCTGCTATAGTGGCGCACCAACCAAAAGACTCTTATACTGCCCTGTTTTTCAGACACCCGACCTTGAAGCAATTTCTAAAGGGTGTCTCCAATTTGCACCCCTCCAGACCCTACCTCCCACCACAATGGTTGTTACACACCATCCTCCGACGTCTTACACTACCTCCCTTCAAGTCTCTTGCAACTACGTCGGACTGTTTCCTTTAAGACCCTATTTTTGGTCGCTATTACTTCTGCTCGCAGAGCTGAGCTTGTGCCTCTCCGAGTTGACCCTCTATTTCTTCAGTTCCATCCCAACAAAGTTACACTTTATCCTGATGTCTCCTTTCTGCCGAAGGTTATCTCTGATTTTCATCTTAGACAACCCATTATTTTACCTACTTTTTTCCCATCGCCAACCAATGATTTGGAGCACTCTCTCCATCTGTTGGATGTCAGGACAGCCTTGGCATTCTATGTTTTTAGGACTTCTTCCTTTCACAAGTCTAAGAGACTTTTTGTCACCCCTCATTTGCCTCACAGGGGTTCTCATGACTCTTCTCAGAGCATCTCTACATGGATTGTCGCAACTATACTCCTCGCATACCAGCTTGCCCGAAAGCCTCTGCCCTCAGGCACTGAGGCACATTAGTTGCTGCTTCCACAGCCTTTTTTTGAGGTGTATCTCTACCTCATATCTGCAAGGCTGCTACCTGGGAAACTCCATCTACTTTGCCACTCATTACTGTCTAGATGTCAGGGCAAAGACGGATGCGGCCTTTGGCAGAGTTGTGCTATCCTCTATTCTTCCGTGACGTCCTTCCTCCAGTAAGCAAGCTTGTTAGTCACCCTATAGTGTGCATTCACAGAAACCATGAAGAAGAGGTTACTTACCTGTAACTCTTCAAGTGGTCATCTGTGAATTCACACTTCCCAGCTCCTCCCCTCTGTCCGTCACATCTGTTTCATTTGATACGGCACCAGGCTGTTCTTAGGAACTGAGGCAATTGCCGGGACGGGCAGATCACGTGTACTAGGGTGGCGGTCCTGGCGAATGCGACATAGAGCTCTAGAACTTTCCGGAAACCTCTGTGCAAGCACAGACTCTACCCTATAGTGTGAATTCACAGGTGACCACTCGAAGAACCACAGTTACAGGTAAGTAACCTCTCTTTTCATTAGAATCTAGTTCTGGATCTGATTACTGAAGCCCAATGTAGGGAAGATGTAAGTAATGAATTTGCACCTGTGTAAGTGTTATCTTATTACCATGTTTAGAAGGAGCAACCAGAGATCCATGGGCCCTAAGAAATCAACAAAAACTTCAAACATTTCTGCGATTTTATGGGCAATCACTAGAAGGTAACTTGTCGAAAACTATTATTACTCGGCCAGATACTCCAAAGAAGGCTTCTGTTGATTCAAAGAAAACCAAAAAAATTCAAGTAAGATATGTAAATATTCTTTGTGTGAATGTTCAGCATTTATATTCAGAATGGTTGGCATGTATATTCATTTTGTATTCAGTTAGGCAGTTCAGGAATGGTTCCTGTCCTGTTTGGTTCCTTCATAAACATGTTTTGATTCTGACATCTCTCTTTTAATTTACCTGAGACTGTATCAATGTCGCTTTTCTGTTCATAATGAATCTTTCCCCTTGTTATCCTGTTTATCATATACCTCATGCAGATAGTTTTGAGGCCTTGTGACACAACAGTCTGAATCATTTTTGCAATCCTCTCTCTGGGATAACAGATATTTCTTCAACCTTGCTTCATTTTTATAAGGTTCTGAATCCTGATCATTCCCAGTTACCTTTTTAGAAGAATATAAATCTGTTTCTTAATTAAAGGATTAAGAATTTCTGAATGGGGAACCTTAAGTCCATTGGCCAAATATGGACTTCTAACCCTGTACTCCAGTGTACAATGTACACAGACAATAGATCTTTCTGGCTTGTTAATTGTATTTAATCTATTATTTTCTGACCTAGTAAAAATCTGATGGAGGAAACATGGCTCAAGGTGGGAGTGGAGAATGTCTGGAAGAATTTCTTTTATTGTATGTTGAATAGTGATAATAGTTAAGTAAGGTCCCATGGCAGGAGATCCTAAAAAAAATGTTCACGGGTGGGAGTTTCTTTAAAAAGGAAATTCTAAAAGCACAAATAAAAAAATCCCAACAAGAAAAAAGGCTGGGAGACAGGAAAAAAAGGGTCACTGTGGCTTCACAAGAAGCTCAGACAGGACTGGAAACAGAAAAGGGCATATATAGGAAGTATATGGAGGCCAGGCCACAAGGGTAGAATACAGACATGTAGCAAGGAATTGCAGGAGTGGCATTAGGAAGGCAAAAGCTGAGTATGAGCTGAGATTAGCTAAAGCACTGGTTCCTAACCTTGGGTTACTCAGGAGTTTTGGACTGCAACTCCCAGAAGCCTTCACCACCAGCTGTGCAACTGCAACTGGGAGTTGCAGTTCAAAGGCATCCGAGTAACAAAGGTTAAGAACCACTGAGCTAAAGCAACAAAAACATTATTCAGGTATGTGCATAGCAAAAGGCAATGAAAAGAAACTGGCAAAACTACTCAATGGAGATGGGAAAATGATAATAGAAGATAAAAGGCAGAAGTGTTTGATTCCTATTTTAGCTCAGTCTTTTCCCAAAGGACAAACTATGATCCTCTAGATGTGAAATGCAAGTGGGAGGGGATGGGGGTGCAGCTTGAGACGGATAAAGAAATAGTCAAGGAGTACCTTGCTACCTTGAACAACTTCACCTCTCCTGGGTTGGATGAACCTGTGTCCAAGAATACTGAAAGACCTAGCTGAAGAACTCTCAGAATCACTGTCCATTATTTTCTCAAAATAATAAGAAATGGGTGAGGTGCCAAATGATTAGAGGAGTACTAATGTTGTCCCTGTCTTCAAAAGGGGCAAAAGGGAGGAACCTGGGAACTATAGACCAGTCAGCCTGACATCAATCCCAGGGAAATTTTTCAAACAGATTATAAAGCAGTCACCATGCAAACACCTAAAAAAAGCAATCCAGTAACAACTAGTCAAGAGCAATAATTTGTCAAAAGCAAGTCCTGCCAGACTAAACGGATCTCACTTTCTGATCAGGTAATTTCCCTGATAGAGAGACTGCTGTAAAGATAGTATATCTTGACTTCAGCAAAGCTTTTGACAAAGTGCCCCATAATATTCTGATTACCAAGCTAACTTAAGTGTGGGGTGGATAGAACAACTGTCAGGTGGATACACAGTTGGCTACAGAATCATACTCAGAGGGTGATTATTAATGTCTCCTTCTCAAACTGGGTTGGAGTAACCAGTGGGGTACCCCAGGGCTCAGTCCTGGGCCCTGTGATCTTCAACATTTTTATTAATGACCTGGTTCAGGGGGGACAGGGACGGCTAATCAGATTTACAGATTACACACAATTGTCTGGAATAACTAATACCCTGCAAGACAGAAACAAAATTCAAAATGGTCTGGATAGGCTTGAGTATTGGGCTGAAAACAACACGATGAAATTTAACAGAGATAAGTGCAAAGTACTGCACCTAGGAAAAATAAACTGTCGCACACCCCCAGTGTCCCGTCTGTTTTCCCACTCTCGCAGGTTCACCTTTGGGCACAACTTGTTCTTTTCACCTTTTTTTGCTGCCACCAGAGGATATTACCCTCACTGTACCAATTATGAATCTCAGACTATTGCTGCCAAATGTAACAAGGTTTATTTATGGTTTGGAAGGAAAATCAAAGAAGTAAAATCATGGATGTTCTTTTATTATTCATTCAATAAATGTGGATTTGATTACATGCTTATATTCATTCACTTTAATCAAGGTCCCAATATATTCTGACAGTATATATTTCCTATTTTTTAAAACTCTTTTATATTCTCTAACACACCAACTTTTCAGTATCTTGTTTAAACCCTTCTCAATCTTCTCCCTAACTGTCTTTCTGTCTCTCCCACTTATCTTGACTCAGCCCCTCCTGTCCTGTCATAGGCTCCTGCACTAGAGCTCTAAAATGACTGCCAGGATGACAGACAAAATGACTGCCACAGGAACAATGATTGATTGATTGATTGATTGATTGATTGATTAATTGATTGATTGATTTGTATTTCTGTCCCACTTTTCTAGACCGAAGGTCTACAAATACACAGTTATGAGATAGGGAATACCTGGGTCAGCAATACTACAAGTGAGAAGGATCTTGGAATTGTCATAGACCAAAAGCTGAATACAAGCCAACACTGTGATGTGGCTACCGAAAAGGCCAATGCTGTTTTAGGCTGCATTAACAGAAGTATAGTCTCCTAAATCCCGTGAGGTACTAGTTCTCCTCTATTTAGCACTGGTTAGGTCACATATATAGTACTGTGTCCAGTTCTGGACACCACACTTCAAGAAGGATGCCAACAAATTGGAACAAGATCAGAGGAGGGTAAGAAGGATGATCGGGGGAGGAAAACCAAGTCTTATGAGGAAAGACTGAAAGAATTGGGCATGTTTAGCCTTGAGAGTCCCCTGGACTGCAAAGAGAACAAACCTATCCATTTTGAAGGAAATGAACCCTGACTGCTCACTGAAAGGACAGATCCTAAAGCTGAGGCTCCAATACTTTGGCCATCTCATGAGAAGAGAAGACTCCCTGGAAAAGACCCTGATGTTGCAAAAGTGTGAGGGCAAGAGGAGAAGGGGACGACAGAGGATGAGATGAGTGTCGTCAAAGCTACCAACATGAATGTGACTAAACTCTGGGAGGCAGTGGAAGACAGGAGGGCCAGGCATGCTCTGGTCTATGGGGTCATGAAGAGTTGAGGATGACTTAATAACTAAACAGCAACAAAGCTAATAGCACTTTTCAAATACTTGGAAGGCTGCCATGCAGAGGAGGTGTGGGATCTGTTTTCAATCATCCCAGAGTGCAGGACGTGCAACAATGGGCTCATGTTACATGGAGCCAGACTTCAGTTGAATACCAGGGAAAACTTCGTAACTGTTAAAGCAGTATGGCAATGGAATGAATTACCTTGGGAGGTGGTGAGTGCTCCAACACTGGAGGCATTCAAGAGAAATTTAGACAACAACTTGGCAGATACCCTTGGTACTTCTTCGTGGTCCCTGTGAATGCACACAAATGGGTTATTCTGTGCCTGTGCAGGACTTCTCTGAAGTTTCTAGAGCTTAAAGAGATATGATTAGTGTAACGTTCCCCCGTGGAGCTCATGTTCCGCTTGCCCGAAGCCTGTTCAGTTCCTTTTAGTTGCCACTTAAGTCAGACCTATCTCGACGACTAGAACAACTTTGATTGTGATTGCTGTCCCCCCCCCCCCCCCGGTGCTGCCTTAGGCTTTTTCACCTTATTTTTTGACCTACATAGGCACCGTTCTACACTCACGAAAGGCAAGAGCCTTCCTCCCTCAAGAGAAAACAGCAAAGTTCAATTCACTTCTTCATCACTTCCAACCTCGTGCACTTTTCACCGCACATCAAACTCAACGTCTTCTAGGCCTCATTGGCTCAACCACGTCAGTCATACAACATGCCTGATTAAAGATACTGTGGTCACTGCCTATGTTACTCATATTCATAAGCTGATTTGCACAAACCTATGAGAGAGCTGGAGTGGCAGAGTCATCAGCTACAGTGGACCCTTGACTTACAGACGGCTTGACTTGCAGACTTTTTGAGTTACAGACTTCTCTGGCCGCAAAATTTAGATTTGACTTGCAGACTGAGATTTTACTTACAGACCAGAAAAAAACCAAAATGGAACAAAAACGGCCTGTTACAGGATTAATCGGTTTTCAATGCACTGTAGCTCAATGGAGACTTGACCTACAGACTTTCTGACCTGCAGCCACCGTTCCAATACGGATTAATTCTGTAAGTCAAGGGTCCACTGTACTGCCTGGACTGTATTTTCCCTGCCTTCCCTGAACCTTTTTTGACCTAAGAAAAAAAGAAACAAAATATCCCCCTTTAGTGGTCGAAGGCAGTATAGCAGCTTCCCATTAATTTCTATGGACGGAAAAGAACAGATACGGATCAAATGGTTTTCAATGCATTCCTATGGGAAATGCAGATTTGACCTGAGAACTTTTTGACTTGAGAACTGCCTTCCAATACGGATTAAGTTTTCAAGTCAAGACCCCACTGTACATGAGGCTTGGCTGGAGAAGGAGGAGTCAGATAGGGCTGGTTAGAAAGAGAGGGCTTATTAGGAAAATAGGTAGAGAGGGTGGTAATGAAATTGCAAGTGAGGGAACTGTTGATGAAATCACTTATATATACTGAATATCTGAAAAACTTCTGTAATTACTCATTCTGCTTCACTTCAATAAATAAGTTCTTTTTCTGTTCACAAAACAAGTGTTCTGACATATGTCATTTTATATAGTGGATTGAAGTAATCCACTGGTGGCAGCGAAAAGAGAATGCAACTTGCGCCTTTGTGGGAGAATAATAAACAGAAGGCACGTGGATGTTACGACAAATTGGTGTCAGCCTGTGGGATATGTAGCGTTAGCCCTTGGTTTGGTGAAACAAGCAGGGGCCACGAGGAAAACGTCACAGATGCATTCACTTCAGGCATGGTACCTATCTATTTTCAATCCAATGCCCGACCCACCTATCAAATTACTCCAAGTCACACCAGAATTCACATCCCAACTACTGTGGTGGGACACACCAGCCAACCTCTTCATCAGCAGGGCTTCGTGTCCCTTCAACTCACTATTCAGGTCACCACTGATGCCAGTCCCACATACATGCTCCATGGTTCTTCTGTGGTGTCTTCTTCTCAACCATTTCGAACTACTTGCCATCTTCAATGCCTTCCGCGCTTTTGAACCTCTCATTTTATGTCAACAAACAAGGAGGCACTCATTCCATCTCTCTCCTACACCTTGTTGTCCAACTATGGGAATGGTGTTTCGAATGCCATATCTACCCAGTTGCAGTTCATAGCGCCACGCACCACAGCCAACTGATGGATGTGCTCAGCAGACTTCACACTCATGCACAAATGGACCTTCAATTATTCTGTTTTCTTTTGTCTCTGCAATCTCTGGAGTCACCCCCACATAGACATTTTTGCCAACTCTCACAACACAAAATACGCCCTCTATTGTTCCAGGGTGGGAATCGGGCCAGGCTCCCTCGGAGATATCTTCATGATCCAGTGGTTCCTGCATCTACTCTACCTTTTCCCTCATACTCTTCCTTCTACAGACCATTGTCAAACTCTGTCAGGATCACTCAGATGCCATTTCCGTTGCCCCACGGTGGCCCAGACAACCTTGGTTCACCATGCGCTGGTCCTTCTCCACCAACTTCCTCTGTCTGCTCCTCCTCCCTCATCTCCTCACTCAGCATCAAGGGAAGACCTTCCATCCCGATCTCCACACTCTCCACTTCATGGCATGGAGAATTCACCTCCATACCTACTATCTTGGCTAATGCTCAAAAGCCTGCCACCAGAAGACTTTAGGCCTATAAATGTGCTGCCTTTGAGAAATTTGCAATTTGCCATAACCTACCTACCATGCCAACAACTCTTCATGCACTTTTAACCTTCCTTTCACATCTCTTCAGTCATGCCCTTTCACTGTCTACCCTCAATATTTATATCTCCACCATTGTGGCATATCAACCAAAGGACTCAGATGCTATTCAGGCAACCCACTCTGAAACAATTCCTCAGAGGCATATCCAATATATGCCCATCCCATCCTTCCCTCCCGCCACAGTCGTTGTTACACACCGATTTATGCCATCTCACACTGCCTGGTTTTGAACCTCTTGTGATTATGTCAGAACGTTTCCTCTCCTTTTTTTTTCTTTTTTTTTTAAAATAAATTTTATTGAGTTTTTTAACATACAAAAAACCACAAGATACCAAAGAAAGAAAAAGAAAACCAAAACGAAGAGACGAAAAGAAAAGAGGAAAAAAAAAGAAGAAAATCATATAGCAAAGAGAAAAAAAGCAAACCTAAATTAACCCCTCTATCTGAAGTGCCCCCCCCTTGGAGTCAAAGATTCCAGCCTCATTAGTCCTCTATTCTCCCTACATCTGTTTACAGCATATACTAATACGTTTCTACATGTATCCTAAATTTCACCCTAAACTTCAGTCTTCTTCTGGGCCCAGAGATATATTAGTCCCCAGCTTTGTTTTACATAGTCTCTTGGCTGTTCCCGCAATGCTTCTGATAGAGTGTCCAACTCTGCCATGTCCCATAGTTTCAGAACGTTTCCTCTCCTTTAAGACCTTGTTTCTGGTTGCTATTACCTCTGCTCGCAGAGCTTCTGAACTCACTGCTCTCCGACTTGACCTTCAATTTCACCCTGACAAAGTTACTCTTTATCTGCATGTATGTTTTCTCCCAAAGGTTGTCTTCAATTTTCACCTTAAACAACCCATTATTTTACCTACCTTTTCCCCATCACCTGCTAACGAACTGGAATGGTCCTTACACTTACTAGACGTTAGGAGGGCTCTGGTGTTCTCACTTCTAGAACTTCTTCCTGCTACATGTCTAAGAGAGTCTTTGTCACCCCTCATTTACCTCATAGTGGTTCGCATATCTCTTCTCAGGCCATCTCTTGATGTATCGTGATGATATGCCTGGCATACCAGCTTGCTCGCAAGCCTCTGCCATCCCGCATTATGGCACACTCTTACGAGAGCTGTTGCTGCTTCCACACCTTTCTTGAGAGGTATACCTGTCCCTGATATCTGTAAGGCTGCTAACTAGGCAACCCCATCTACCTTTGCCACACATTACTGTCTTGATGCCAGAGCCAAGATGGATGCTGCCTTTGGCAGAGCTGTACTATCATCTATTCTTCTGTGACGTCCCTCCTCCGGTAAGTCAGCTTGTTAATCACCCTATAGTGTGCATTCACAGAGACCATGAAGAAGAAAGAGAGGTAACTCTGGTTCTTCGAGTGGTCATCTGTGAATTCACACTTCCTGTCTGTCCTCCCCTCTGTCTGTCCCTTTTTGCTACAGCGGCGGACTGTTGTTAGGAATGGAGGTGATCGCCAGGAGGGGCGGACCATGTGTACTGGGGGGGCGGTCTTGGTGAATGTGTGATAAAGCTCTAGAATATTCCAGAAACCTCTGCAGAGGGGCAGAATAAACCCTACAGTGTGCATTCAGAGATGACCCCTCGAAGAATCAGAGTTACAGGTAAGTAACCTCTCTATTCCTGCATTGAGAAGGTGGTTAGACTTGATGGCCATATAGGTTCCTTCAAACTTCATTATTCTGTGATTCTGTGGTTCTAAACATAGCATGAAGTTGGATTCCCAGCAACTCTGGCTTCAACAAGGTAAACTAAAGTGGATTAATAGTCTGTTGCCCTTTTGGTTCACAGAAGACCAAAGCAGAAATGATCATAGAAGAGAACCAGAAGAGAAAGAGAGCTGTGGAAGAGAAAAAAGAAGAGCATAAATGGGGTGCTCTTTCAATGTCAGTGGAAACAAAAATTAAAGAAGATGTGATTTCTGGAATTAAATATCTGGAAGATTTTCTGAATAAATGTCAAAGTGAATCTGTGAAATGTTGTGCAGAAATGGCAGCACTGAATGTTTGCTTTGGCTTATGGAAAGAACACTGCAAGACAGAAGGTATGGGAATATATGACAGAATAACTGTCCTAGGTAATCCTGTGAATTTCATGACTGAGTGGGAATTTGAACCCAGGTCTTCCCAATCCTAGTCCATTCTTTGTCCACTACTAACTATAAAACTTGCTCTCATAATTATAGAATGTATAAGAAATTTATTCACTAATTCTAAATGGGTTTGACTATTTTTATGGATTATTTTTGGTGTATCTGTTCTCTTCAAGGCAAAACTGACAAAAACTTCAATATAGCTGTTGAAGTGATGAGAAGAATCCATTCATTGGTTGTAAATTATGATGACCAAGATATATTGAAGGAGAATGATTGGCATCAGATTTGGAAATGCCTCTGGAGCCTTGGATTTGACAATCTTGCTGCTTCTTTAAAATATATCAAGGTAATTGTGAAATATCAGGGGATGTGCATAAGTTAGATTTTTTGCAATTCAGTTTCCACACTTCTAAAATGCAGAATGCAAAATGCAGCTCTATCTGTAGCAGCAGACAAGGCTTGTCTTGTAGCAGTACAAATCCTTTTTGTATCACTGCTCTTAAGTAACTAGAAGTGAATTCTTTTCATAGTTATCATGGTCTTCTACAAAATCTTTAACTAGATCCATTGTCCCTTGTCTGGTGGAAAGAAGACAGCTTTTTAAAACTATCAGCTTTAGAAAACCCTCATTTGAGGTTTGGAGTAAGTGGAGGCTCTCAGTAGGGAGGCTTTCATTTTGACAGCAGCTTCTGGAATGCCTATGTGACTACAGATGGTCATTCCAGGGGCTGATGCCAGAAAAAACACTTCTCTGCTTAGAGCCTTATATTTTGTTATGCTGCTATGGCATTCTCCCCTATACCTCACTGATTGTGGACAGTGTCACCAAACTTTTTCCTCATTTCTATGCTGACTTTGTTTTTAAATTTTTTTCTCCCAAATGCGCAGTGATGGCCCATTAGCTTTTTAAAAGATGTGATCTTCATTTGTTGACATGGATCAACCCAGTTGCTCACAATTTGAGACTTTCCTGGGGCGGTGCTGGAATAGCACCTGCATAAGGAGATTTATCGCTATACCACTGGCTAACATCAGTTTTGCTATTCATGTCTACCAAGCCTGTGAAATTCAGCCACATTCTCTTAGGTGTAACATAATGTGGACATATCTCACATGCTAATTAGACATTTCGAGTGTTCTGCATGTATGCATTAAGTCTAACCCATCTGTCCTTTTGGGGAGGGATAGTGTTATGTCCTACATGGCTGAGTCCTCTTCAGAGGATGAAGCCAAGGATGACCTTGGAGACCAGGGCTGGGGAAAATCTTGAGGCTCCAGTTGTGAGCCTTCTCCTAGAGGCACAAGAGACAGAGGGGGTGCCTGGTTTTCATTCCTTCTACAAGATGGTGATACTTTGATGAATGACTAGTTTCCTAGCTCTAAAGAAAAATGGCAACACTAGGTGCTAGAATCCAGAAAGCAAATAAGGTAGTTGAGGCATTTTCCAATTTAGTTGCCTGCAGTAAATAATTCATTAAAGCCAGATAAAGCAGGGAGGGGATCCAGGTCAAGTTCAATGACCCCATCCTCTGAAAAGGGCCAAGCCATGTAGGATAATACCACCAACCCAGTCATGTGGCTACTGCTGGCAACAATATTTGCAATCACATTTTGATGTAGCCATTCTTCCATCATGTTGGACTGAACCCCTGCTTTTTGGTCTGCACTACTGTAGATCTGTTCCTGTTTTCTCCTTCTTGGCCCTTTCCGATTGGTATTGGCAGACACTTGCTACCTTAGAGCATGATAGAGTTTCTACTTCCTTCTGTAAAGCTGTCTTGTCCTTTTCTTGGCTACTCAGTTTCATTTTATTAGTAGCTGTAGACACAACAGGAATGGAGGGAGAGGCATTAATGAAAAATATTAAATTGTGTGATTCCAGACTTCCTGGGGATTTTAAGTCCCAAATTCATTTTTCTTTCTTTCACTCCAGACATGAAGGAATCTTCAGAGCAGTTTTCCATTTTGGTTTCTTTGGACATTGAAAGAACTTATTTTTTTTAAACAGGCAATTCAAATGAAATTTCTAAATGCTTATAGGTTTCAGAAGAGGAGAAAAAAGAAGTTAAAAAGAAGCATTCAAAATGTGCTGTTGGTGTGGGATCATCCCGGTTTCAACTGCAGTTTATGGGCCATTATCTTATACGAGAAGAAAGAAAAGATCCTGATCCCAGAGTGCAACATTTTATTCCTGATACATGGCAGGTATAAATTATGAATTCTTCTGTTTTAGATATAGAATTCTTCTGTTTTATATAACACAAAGATGAGCAACATGTGACCTATAGGTTGTATAGCCCTCCAGGAACCAGCACCCCTGCTTCCTCAAACCCCATCCCTTTCCCCAAATTTGGATATGCTGCAATTCTGCAATTATATTTTGGGGGGAGGGGGAAAAATTCCTCTGCCCCCTGACACACCAAAACTGTATGTTCTTTAATTTTATCAGACACTAGAAGGTGTAAGAAGGGTTTAGTAAAAGATCTAGTCCATTTTTGTAAGAAAAGATGGAGGGTCACAGGTGTAAGTATGATGATCTAATGTTCTGGAATGGAGGTGTATGGTCCCTGGAGGTTATCAATGGTTGTTTCAAGGAGCTAGCAAATGTGGGATATTGTTGAGGGAGCGTTATGCTCTTCCTTACTGTTGTCTTTGCACTCTAGGCAAAGCCGCCTAGAGTGGCCGTATAGACGAGATGGGCGGGATATACAGTGGTGCCCCGCATAGCGACGATAATCCATGCAGCAAAAATCGTCGCTATACGGATTCGTCGCTATGCGGATTTAAAAAGCCCATAGGAATGCATTGAAACCCCTTCAATGCGTTCCTATGGGCTTAAAACTTATCTTTTAAGCAAAAATCCTCCATACGGCAGCCGTTTTGGGTGCCCAGTAAGCGAAGAATCTGTCCCTGTTTTACCCGGTGACCATTTTGGAACCGCCAATCAGCTGGGGAAAAAACATCATTATGCGAAAATCAGTAAGCGAAACAGGTTACTGATCATCGCAAAGCGATTTCCCCCCATAGAAAACATTGTTATGCGATCGCAAAAGCGATCACAAAATCATCGTTGCTATGCGGATTCATCATTAAATGGGGCGCCCATTATGCGAGGACCACTGTAAATCAAATAAATAAATAAATAAATAATATATCAATTCTGTACAAATTAGCTGTTTCTGAGAAAACAGGAGTTCTTAAACATTAATTTTTTCATTATTGTCATATCTATTACAATATTGTGCAAAGACAGCGTCCCATATTTTATACTGTGGAGACTTATTTGCACTTGAGAAGGAACAAGGTGACACTAGTCTTTCGGTTAAAAAACTGATAACAGGACAGTTTCATTATATGGATTAAAAAAACAGTGGGGGAAAAGGAAAGAGGATTTTGAAGATTTTTGATTTCATCTCACATACTTTGAAAAACTGTACAGTGGGGTCTTGACTTAAGAACGGCTTGAGTTAAGAACATTTTGACTTAAGAACCGCTCTCATAGGAAAATATTGACTTGACTTAAGTACTTAGATTTGAGTTAAGAACTGAAAAAAACCCACGTGGGAGGCAGGGAAAGTGCAAAAAGTGAACTTTCAGTTAACTGTTGTCCAGTGAAAAGGGTGCCTGGCTGCTTCCTCTCTCCTCCCAGCGTTTAGAGAGTGGATTGGGAGACAGTCTTCGGACTGCCTGGTACTGAATTGCCTGGACTGTATTTTCCCTGCCTTCCCTGAACCTTTCTTGACCTAAGAAAAAAAGAAACAAAATATCCCCCTCTAGTGGTCGAAGGCAGAATAGCAGCTTCCCATTAGTTTCTATGGACGGAAAAGAGCAGATACGGATCAAATGGTTTTCAATGCATTCCTATGGGAAATGCAGATTTGACCTGAGAACTTTTTGACTTGAGAACCGCCTTCCAATACGGATTAAGTTCTCAAGTCAAGACCCCACTGTATTAGCGTCTCCATAAGCTGAAAGCAACTTGATGGCACACTTCACACACATAATTAACTATGGGCCTTCATTTCTCCTTCCTTAGTTTAATTCCATCAAAGTTGGTCCAATTATATGCAACAACAGGTAGAGACAGGAAAGTGAGAAATATCTGCCATTCCTCTTTTCTCGTAGGCAAACCAGCATATGCATAGGGCAAGGATGAGCAACTCATGGCACATAGACTGCAGTTAGCTATAGGGCTATTTCTTAGCTGCCAGTTTCTCTGGCGGAAGTATTCCTTGTGGTGCAAAAGTCTGAATTTCTGCTCTTAGAAGCAGAACTGCTGCCCAGAACAGACCACCAGAACCTACCTGGCCTTCACCTCTACAGTGTTATCTGCTATGTTTTCAGAGCATATTATGAGTTCAGTCATGTTCTGAGAGATTACTGTAACCGATTTTTGAATGGTGTCAGTAGCAGATATTAACACAGGGCTAAGTAAGGGAGCGACTAAATGGGACACTTACCCCACAGTTTGGATTGGACTGGGCACAGACAAATTTGATATACAGTTGTGTTCAAAATTATTCAGCCCCCAATGCTGTAAAGGGGTTTAGGGACTATAGTGTACATTTGGAATTGTATTCAGAATGAAATCCTACAAGGACGTTTTAAAGAACCAAATGCAACTAAAATAACATCAATTGTTTATGTAATACATTAGTAAATGTTTCTTTTGTGGTTTCTTCATTGCCACAATTATTCAACCCCTTAAAGACTACCACTCTGAAGAAGAGAGGTTCATTCAGGTGTTTTTGATCAGGTATTGAAAACACCTGTGGATGTCACGGAGCACCAATCAAGCATAATAAGCACCAATTAGGCAGCTTTAAAATGACTGTGATATTCAGCTCCTTCTAGACATTTACTGGTGTGGTTACAAACATGGTGAAGTCAAGAGAATGGTCCAGGAAGACAAGAGAAGAGGTGATTTGTCTTCACAGGAAGGGCAATGGCTATAAGAAGATTGCAAAGAAGTTAAACATACCAAGAGACACCATAGGAAGCATCATTCGCAAATTCAAGGCAAAGGGCACTGTTGAAATGCTACCTGGTCGTGGAAGAAAGAAGATGCTGACTTCGACTGCTGTGCGCTACCTAAAGCGTAGAGTGGTGAAAAGTCCCCGTGTGACTGCTGAGGAACTGAAAAAAGATTTGTCAGATGTGGGTATAGAAGTTTCAGCTCAGACAATAAGGCGCACACTGCGTAATGAAGGTCTCCATGCCAGAACCCCCAGGCGCACCCCCTTGCTGTCTCCCAAGAATAAGAAGAGTCGACTGCAGTATGCCAAAAGTCATGTGGGCAAACCACAAAAGTTGTGGGATAGTGTTCTGTGGACTGATGAAACAAAATTAGAACTGTTTGGGCCCATGGATCAACGCTATGTTTGGAGGAGGAAGAACAAGGCATATGACGAAAAGAACACCTTGCCTACTGTGAAGCATGGCGGAGGGTCAATAATGCTTTGGGGCTGTTTTGCTTCTGCAGGTACAGGGAAGCTTCAGCGTGTACAAGGTACCATGAATTCTCTTCAGTACCAGGAGATATTGGATGAAAATGTGATGCAGTCCGTCACACACCTGAGGCTTGGGAGACGTTGGACCTTTCAACAGGACAATGATCCCAAGCATACCTCCAAGTCCACTAGAGCATGGTTGCAGAGGAAAGGCTGGAACATTTTGGAGTGGCCATCGCAGTCACCAGACTTAAATCTGATTGAGAACCTCTGGTGGGACTTAAAGAAAGCAGTTGCAGTGCGCAAGCCTAAGAATTTGACTGAACTGGAGGCTTTTGCCCATGAAGAATGGGCGAAGATACCCGTAGATCGCTGCAAGACACTTGTGTCAAGCTATGCTTCACGTTTAAAAGCTGTTATAACTGTAAAAGGATGTTGTACTAAGTACTAAGATTGAATGTCACTTGGGGGTTGAATAAAAACTAATAATGATGTGAGCAAAGAAAAGACATTTGTGGTTATTTCATTATAAACTTAAGGTTATATTTCTCTGACCTACAAGTGCCTCTTTCATGTAAATGTAAGCAAGATGACTGAATGATCAAAATCAATGTCAAAATGGCCAAAACATTCAATTTCAGTGTGGGCTGAATGGCTGAATAATTTTGAACACAACTGTAAAAGCTGATAACTACACAGCGCTCACTGCAGAGTAGCCCATTGTGGAATCATCTATTTTGAGTGGGGAACCAACTCTTTTCTTCATCTGGCAGGGGTGATTTAAAATTTTCCCTGATTGGCTGGCATAATTTTTCTCCAGTTTCTGCTTTGTGTGATGGCCTGATCCAAAGGCAGAGCAGTGCTCATGGGGGTGGCACATCTCCCGACATTTCACAGTTACCTTGACATATTTTTAAAAGCAGCAAGATTTTACAGCAGAGGCATTTCCAAATTTGATGGAAATCATCCTCCTATATATTGGTAATCATAATTTGCAATCAATGAATAGATTCTTCTCATTACTTCAACAGCTATATTGAAGTTTTTGTCAGTTTTGCCTTGGGGACAACAGATACACCAAAAATAGTCATCCATAAAAATAATCAAATCCATTTAGAATTACTGAAGAAATTTCTTGTTCATTCAGTTCCCTTCAACTGAGCACCCAGTGTCCCCAAACAGTTTCTTGAAGGAAAAAGCAATAACTTTCATGTAAGTGTTGTGTTGCTAGGGCTTTTAGGAAAACTACAATAGTTGTAGTTTTCGCTGAGGGCGAAGGCCAGGTCTGTTTGCATGGATGCCTTGCTGAGTTTTTTTCCCTGGGCTTTCTTTTTGTCTCCTGACCACATGGCCTGGGGGTGGGGCCTAGGGGAGGGACTTCCTGCTTTAAAAGAGCATGTCCCAGGACCCTGGATCCTTTTCCCTAGGAAGCTGGGCTGAGGGCGAAGGCCAGGTCTGTTTGCATGGATGCCTTGCTGAGTTTTTCTTTTTCCTGGGCTTCTCAAATTTTGTATCTGGCATTAATATGGTAAATAGGAAGCCAATTAGATTTGCATAAGCCGGGGAGTCAGGAAAGTTTTAAGGATCAGATCATACTTTTGCACTATTAAAGAGCAGGCCGGGTAGGTGGTGCTCGTCAGCCATGGAAGGCAGCCCATCTAGGAGAAGGAAAACTCCGATTTCAAACCTCCACTGCCTTGTGGCTATATCCACTCATGGAAAAGGTTTCAGGAGTTAACCTCGAGGCAAAATCCAGAGCTGGAGTCCTGAAGGCAGCATGTGTCGTTCTGCCAACTCCTGCGACATTGCTGGAACCAGTTGTATTGGCTCTTGCCTTTCCATTGGAGCATTTCAGCAATGTGGAGAGGGGGGATCTGCTGCTTGGGTAACAGCCTATCCTCCATATTACTTTACCCAGGCTTCATGCTCTGGAGAGGACACTCCTCGATTCAGAGCATGTTACCATAGTCTCTCGAGACTGAAGGATGCCTATGATGAGGAATAAAAGAAGAGAAGAAGTTGAAGTTGCCAATTAGCACCTTGTTAGAATTTTGTCAAAGGCAGCTTCTGCTGTTGGAGTTGTGTGTAAACACAGCTACCTGCCTTTGTTCCTGCTGACGTCTTCAAATTGTGTGTGGTCTAGATAGCTACAGCTATTTCATCTACAGAAACTTGATTTGAAAACTGTGGATCACACTATATTTTCTGCACTGTATAGCTACTGCCTAAATCACATTAATATACAGTGGTGCCTCACATAGCGACGTTAATCGGTGCAGCAAAAATTGCTGCAAAGCGATTTCATCGCTATGTGATTTTAAAAAGCCCATAGGAATACATTGAAACCCCTTCAGTGCATTCCTATGGGCTTAAAACTCACCTTAAAGTGAAAATCCTCCATACAGCAGCCATTTTCGCTTCCCGGTAAGCGAGGAATCCACACGAAAACACAGCGGGAGGCCATTTTTTTTAGCCAGTGGCCATTTTGGAACTGCCGATCAGCTGTTAGAAAATCATCGCTTCGCGATAATCGGTAAGCGAAACGGGGTACTGATCATCGCAAAGCGATTTTTCCCCATTTAAAACATCGCAATGCGATCGCAAAAGCGATTGCAAAAAGTTCGTTGGTATGCGATTTCATTGTTAAACGAGGTGCCCATTAAGCAAGGCACCACTGTAACTGTTTAGGAGTGGAATATTACTGGAAACACAAGAATAGAATATTCACACTGACTGCTTTAGAGAACAGCACACATTACAGTAGAAGTACTTAAACAGAAATAAATGTATTTGCTGGGGAAAAATCAGTGCAAAGGAAGCAAAACTTGCAAGACTGAGGGGAGTTGTAGCTGGATGAGAAGATTTTTTTAAAGGTCCAATTTTAAAGACCACAGCCTTTAGTTTGGAAGACCTGAGCTAAGCTGTTAACGATTTAGTCTTTTTAAGGTCAGTAATTCACAGGGTCACCATAAGTTGGAAGCTATTTGATAGCACAAAACAACAAATTCTTGCTTCTAGCATATGACCTCAGTTGCCCTCTCTTGGCTTCTCTGTCCTAACATTCCCCCAGCTTCAAGGCAGTCTAGCAAGGAGAGGGTTTTTTTTTTAATCTCTGAATGTTTCCCTCATGCATTGATCTCCCTCCCAATTGATCTTACATGGATCAGAAATTTATGAGAAAATAGAGACTGAGACAGAATATCTGCTAAATCCTGGATTCTGGTGCTTGAGAAAGGAATTTCAGCGAGGTGTTTGGTGGTCAGCTCAAAAGGAAGTTGGTGGTGCTTCATTAAGAGGTTTTCAGGAGCATGAGGTGGCTTCAGACAGATATGTTAGCATGGTGTAGGCCAGTGGTTCCCAAACTTTTTTTGACACATGGATTCCTTGAGTTGTGGTGGTGGAGGAGGAGTGGCAAGGGTGCAGCGCGTACATGGAGACAAATAAGCATGAAGGAGCAGGAGGAGCAGTAGCAGCAGCAGCACCAGTTCAGCAAATAAACAGAGAGAATATTCCATGGTGCCCCTAGTTAGGTTTGGCAGTGCCTTAGGGGTGCACATTTTGGAAACTCTTGATGTATGCCCATACTAGAATGAAAAATATTACCACCTTGTGCCTTTGTAGAATCATAGAATAGTGAAGTTGGAAGGGGCCTATAAGGCCATCGGATATCTGTTAGGTTATTGTCTTACGTTTTTCATGAATATGGATTAATTTGTGAAGTAGCTGCCCTCTTGTCAATTATGTTGTGCCCACCTTCTTTTTCTTACCTAGTTGTTACTGTCTGTAACCTGTGCACCTGGCTAATCTTTTCAGATGGCCCTATTTTGCCAAAGATCAACAAAGCATCAAAAGACAGTGAAATGTCTAAATGGTCAATTTAGCTTTTTTGCTTGTGTTTTAATAAAGAACTGAACATTCCTGGCTGATTGGTCCCTGAGTTGTGGGAGACCTTGTGGTCTTAACAAAGATGAATGATTCAGATTCAGTAAAGATTCCTGTTGCATTTTTGAGTAACAAGTTTTATTTGGTACAAGCTTTTGTGGAGAGGCACCCTATGCCTTCAAATGCAGGATTCAAGATATGTTTTTGCAATGCAGGATGTCTGTATTTGTGAGATAAGATACTTTGTCAGGGATATTCATGCCAAACATCTTGCTGATTATAACCTGTGTCTCACAAGCAGTCTCCATTGAGTGGCATTGTTTAAAGTTGTGTTTTGTTTCATTTTCCATTTCATGAAGACCTGATGCTATGATAGTATGGGCTTATTTTCCCCCATTTTCTGGTTAATTTTTTCCTGTTATGGGACTGTGACATCCATAACAATCCATTCCAATACAGAAAAAGCTTGGCCAAGATAAATCTTTGCAGGGATGTTGCTATGATCTACCGTATATGCCGGCGTACAAGATGACTTTTGGGGCCCCCAAAACATGCCTCCAAGTGGGGGGCCCGTCTTGTATGCCGGGTGCCGGGAAGGAGCCGCCGCCGAGACAGTGACGCGGGGCGCGCTGGCCGGGGAGGAAGGCAGACAGTCGGTCGGGATGGAGGGAGGGAGGGAAGCACAGCCTGCCATACTCGTCCGCCGCCCTATGCTGTTGATCCAGCAGTGCGCACGCTCGCCGCCACCCGCCCGGTTCCTTTTCCTCCTCCCCCTGCCGCCACCCCCCAGCCTCTTCCTCGCCCTCCTCTTTTTGGGGGGTCATCTTGTACGGCCGGTCGTGTTGTACGCCAGCATATACGGTAGTCATTTGTTAACACCTGGTCAGTTTTCTTCACCTAGCCAGATAAAGCAAAACCAAATCACAAGATGTCATTCCAGCATCTTGTGACATTTAGTCCTTTGAAATCATGTGACTAATGGGCTCAGTGACCATCACACATCTCATCTTCTTCTATGCTGGCCATGAGCTAGCAATATTGGCATGGGAATATGCATCTCTGCCTTTTGTACTTCCCCCTTCCACAGCAATCTGGTTACAAGTCTGTTGTGCAAATTCAGTGTAATTTTTGTCTCTTAATCCAGATATACAGTTGCACAGAATAGCGCAGAGGGAACTCTTACTACTTTACATTGACATTGCTATTTATCTACAGAGAGAACTTCTTGATGTTGTGGATAATAATGAATCTGCAGTCATTGTTGCTCCTACATCATCAGGGAAGACATATGCCTCCTACTACTGCATGGAGAAAATCCTGAGAGATGGTAATGATGGCATCCTTGTGTATGTTGCTCCTACAAAGGTAGGCCATTTGTAGCAATCAAAATACAATGTACAGTATAATCTTTTTGTTCTGATAGAAAAGGGCCATGGTGCAGACAAACAGTCAAATAAGATGCTGAAATTTGACTTACTATCATTTTAATTTTCCTTCCAAAAAACAATACACCTGTCATTTTATAGGTCACTGTTCATATTGTCTTCCTTCATGGATTGCTGCCTTGTCGTGGCGAAGGGGCTTGAGTAATTCAGAGAATCTATGGGCTATGCCGAGCAGGGACACTCAAGACAGACAGGCCATAGTGGAGAGTTTCGACTAAACACAATCCACCTGGAGCAGGAACTGGCAAGCCACTCCAGTACCTTTGCCAAGAAAACCCCATGAACAGAAACAAAAGGCTAAAAGATATGACGCTGGAAGATGGGACCCTCAGGTCGGAAGGTATCCAACATGCTACTGAGGAAGAGCGGAGGACAAGTACAAGTAGCTCCAGAGCTAATGAAGTGGTTGGGCCAAAGCCGAAAGGACGCTCAGCTGTGGACGTGCCTGGAAGTGAAAGTCTGATGTTGCAAAGAAAAATACTGCATAGGAACCTGGAATGTAAGATCTATGAACCTTGGTAAGCTGGATGTGATCAAACAGGATATGGCAAGAATAAACATTGACATCCTGGGCGTCAGTGAACTAAAATGGACAGGTATGGGCAAATTAAATTCAGATGATTATCATATCTACTATTGTGGGCAAGAATCCCGTAGAAGGAATGGAATAGCCCTCATAGTCAACAAAAGAGTGCGAAAAGCTGTAATGGGATATAATCTCAAAAATGATAGAATTGTGTCAATACGAATCCAAGGCAGACCTTTCAACACAATAATCCAAGTTTATGCACCAACCACCAATGCTGAGGAGACTGAAATTGACCAATTCTATGAAGACTTACAAAACCTTCTAGAACTGACACCAAAGAAAGATGTTCTTCTCATTCTAGGGGATTGGAATGCTAAAGTCGGGAGTCAAGAGATAAAAGGAACAACAGGGAAGCTTGGCCTTGGAGTTCAAAACGAAGCAGGGCAAAGGCTAATAGAGTTGTCAAGAGAACAAGCTAGTGAGGGTGAAAGAGGAGAGCACAAAAAATGGTCTGAAGCTCAACATCAAAAAAACTAAGATCATGGCCACTGGCCCCATCACCTCCTGTCAAATAGAAGGGGAAGATATGGAGGCAGTGATAGAGTTTACTTTTTTGGGCTCTAACAAAACCCAACTAATTTATGACCTTATCTTGGAGGAAGATGCAGACCTGGCCTGCATAACCGAAACATGGATTGGCGGTGAGGGGGGTCCCCCCCTAGCTCTTATCTGTCCGCCCGGTTATGCTGTCCAACACCAGGGTAGACTGGAGGGACGGGGGGGG